TTGTATTATAATTATTGTCAAGGGAGGTGACTGTATGTTTGTTAGCAAACATGGCAGCCATTTTGCACACACCAAAGTCCCACATACAGCCATGAACTGAATAATCAACTTTTTCTTCTTTTTTCCAATAGTGTTGTGGGATCTTTAACAACAACAACTTGTATTTATATAGGGCCTTCATGTGGGCTAGTGTCTCAGAGCACTTTAACAGTGGCAGAGCTTGATACCGAGCCGGGGAGGGAGGTTACCGTAGGCATGGTTGAAGAGGAAAGTCTTCAGGTGTAATCGGAACTCAGGCAAAGAGGAGGCAAGGTGAAGGGATTGAGACACAGAGTTCCTTAGTTTCGGGGAGTAGTGGCTGAAAACATGGCTGCAATGGTGGAGTGGAGGGGACGAGGGATGTCCAGGAGGCTGCAGCCAGAAGAGCAAAGGGACTAGATGTGGGGTAGGCAGACAGCTAGAGATTGTAACTATTGCCATTAATAATAATAATAACCCTTGCATTTGATTTTGGACCTTCTCACATCTTTGAGGCATCTCAAAGCGTGTCACAGAATATGCTGTAAAGTGAATTGACTGTATATTTCGTGGGCAAAACGCGGCAGTCAATTAAGCATAGCACTTCTGGATTGAGTGGCTAAATTATTATTAGTTTTTTTTAAGGGATTATTACAACCGGAAAAGTGATCAATCAACTAACAACAACAACAACTTGCACTTATATGACGCTCTTCACGCCGGGCGGCATCTCAGAGCTTAACAATGGCGGAGCCCGAGGCCGAGCCAGGGGATGGGGGAAGGTGACCGTAGACGCGGTCGAAGGGCAAAGTTTTCAGGCGCGACCTGACGATGGGGAAGGAGGGAGCGAGGCCAAGGGGTTCAATGAGGGAGTTCCAAAGTTTCGGGGAATAGTGGCTGAAGGCAGGGGCGCCAATGGTGGAGCGGAGGATTCAGGGGACACGGAGGAGGCCGGACCCAGTAGAGCGGAGTAAGTGGGTACTGCTGTGGGGAGAGAGGAGGTTAGAGAGAGGGGTGCCAAGGAATGGAGTGATTTAAACATTAGTGGATTCCTACTGACTGCTGGTAAACAGAGGCGTGAGGAATAAGGAAACTGGCCCAACGTTTTGCCCTGCCCGGGAATCGAACCCAGGTCCTCTTGCTTGCGGGGCAAGTGTTGTAACCACTGAGCTACAGGACTCCACAAATGCCCTCGAGAAGCAAAATTGTTGAATGTAGCTTCAACGCAATGCTTTCTCGCCAGCAGCAAAAATTCGCTGCTGCTTTCACCTACAATGTACATAATCACTACGCATTGCAGTAAATTCTGCGAAGCATTTTTTGATGTTCGTCTGATGTAATAAAAGTCCTGTGCCTTGGTGGGGCGTCCTCCCGACGTGAAAGGCGCTCTATAAATGCAATCTTGTTGTTGTTGTAGAGCAGTCGCCTCGCAAGCGGGAAGACCTGGGTTTGATTCCCGGGCAACTTTCCTTACTCCACACGCATCTGTTTACCTATCAATAAGTAGGAACCCGGTTTTTAGTCAATTGGCAGATTGGCAGATTGTAATCCCTTCAAAATTTAAAAAAAATATTTCGGTCACTCAATCCACGACTGTTTGTGGGACACTGCTGTGTGTAATTTGCTGTCTCGTATCGCCCACAAAGTATAGTCAATTCACTTTACAGTATATCCTGTAAAGCCCTTTGAGACATCTCGAAGACATAATAAGGCGCACTATCAAATGCAAGGATCGTTATATGTTTTGCACTGTGCTGGTTCCTGATTTACTACTACTACTACTACTAGAAGATGCTACACTGTAACTGGCCACTAGGTGGTGTGGAGTCCTGTAGCTCAGTGGTTAGAGCACTCGCTTTGCAAGTGAGAGACCCGAGTTCAATCCCCGGGGGGTCAGTCAGGGGGAAACCTTGGGCAAGTTTCCTTACTCCACACACAGCCTAATAATAATCCCTCCAAAAACCAAAAACAATAATAAATTGGTCATTTTCAATCTACGACTGTTTGTGGGACATTGCTGTGCGCAATTGGCTGCCGCGTTCGCCCACAAATATACAGTCAATTCACTTTACAGTGTGTTCTGTGAAGCGCTTTGGGACGTCCTCCTGACGTAAAAAGCGCTATATCAAATGCAAGGATTATTATTATTATTACACTGTAACCGGAGCAATTGGTACAACATTCATCTCTATTTACACAATACTTTTCGCATTTAAAGAACTCCTCGAAGGGAATCACAAAGCTGACTGAGCCCAGGCTGGGGGGGAGGAGCTCAGGAAGGGCGGAGAGGGAAGATGACCGAAAGCGCAATTGAAGAGACGTATTTTAACAACAACCGCAACTTGCTATATAGCGCCCCTCACACAGGGTAGCATCCCAGAGCTTGACAGTGATGGAGCACGATGCCGAGCCGGGGGGAGGTGACCGTAGGCACGGTCGAAGAGGAAGGTCTTCAGGCATGATTTGAAGTTGGGAAGGAGGGGGCAAGGTGGGGGGATAGAGGAAGAGTGTTCCAGAGTTTCAGGACGTAGTGGCTGAAAGCGTGGCTACCTATGTTGGAACGGAGAGCACAGGGGACATGCAGGATTCCGGATCAGTCGAGTGGAGGTAGTGGGTACCGCCGCCCGCATTCTCACCCGCACCAAACTCCATACCCCGATTACTCCACTCCTTGCCAAACTCCACTGGTTCCCTGTCACAGAGCAGATCGACTTCAAGATCCTCACCCTAGTGCTTAAACCCTCCATTCCTTTCCCCCACCTCTCTAACCTCCTCTCTCCGCACAGGACTACCGGCTGCCTCTTCTCTGCTGGCTCCGGCCTCCTCCTTTCCCTCGAATCCTCCACTCCGCCATCGGCGGCCGCGCCTTCGTGAGCGAAACACGGCAGTCAGTTGTGTACATTGGTGTCCCACAAACAGTATAATTCATTCATTCATTACAATGTGGTCACTTAATTAAGTGACCTACTATCGGTGGTCGGGCCTTCAGCCTCCTCTACTCTCAACTCCACGACCCCCGATGTCCTGACAGCTGCCTGTCCGACATCGAGTCCTGGACGAGAGACAACTTTCTTCAGCTCAACGTGCGAAAAACCGAGGCCCTCCTGATTGGCTCACGTCAGCGCCTCCGCACCTCAGGCGCCGACACCATCAGCATCCAAGGCTGCACTCTCCACCTCTCAAAGCCATCAGGAACCTCGGCGTTTTGTTCGACCCTGAGCTGTCCTTTCTCCCTCACATCCGCACCACAACTGGCACCGCCTTCCATCACCTCCGAAATATCGCCAGACTACGGCACTACCTCACCCTCACGCTGCTGAAACCCTGGTTCACGCCTTTGTCACCTCAAGGCTGGACTATGGAAACTCTCTCCTCGCCGGCCTCCGCCACCTCCTCCACAAGCTGCAGGTCATTCAGAACTCTGCAGCTCGTGTACTGTCCCGCACCAGGCTTCGGGACCACATCACTCCCACCCTCGCTCGCCTCCACTGGCTCCCCATCCCCCAGAGGATTGATTTCCAGATCCTCATCCTCACCTACAAGGCCATTCACGGCCTTGCTCCCTCCTACCTCTCCAACCTACTATCCCCCTACCTACCTGCCCGTACCCTCCGTTCCTCTGGCTCCGGTCTGCTCCACGTCCCCCGCCCCAACCGCCCTACCATCGGTGGTCGGGCCTTCAGCCTCTCAGCCCCAGGCTCTGGAACTCCATCCCCAGTGCCTTCGCCTTGCTTCCTCCCTTTCCTCCTTCAAGGCCGGTCTCAAAACCTTTCTCTTTGACCGTGCATTCAGCTCCCCTCTCGACTCTCTTCCTCCTTCTCGCTCCCTCCCTCCCCTCACCCTGACCATTTCCCCCCTCCTCTCTCCCTCCCTTCCCCCCTCTCACCCTGACCATTTCCCCCCTCCTCGCTCCCTCCCTTCCTCCCTCACCCTGACCATTTCCCCCTCCTCTCTCCTCCTTCCTCCCTCACCTTGACCATTTCCCCCTCCTCGCTCCCTCCCTTCCCTCCCCTCACCCTGACCATTTCCCCCTGCTCGGGTCATGACCCAACTGTGCAGCGCCTTGGGACGTCCTCCTGACGTGAAAGGCGCTCTATAAATGGAATCTTGTTGTTGTTGTTGTTGTTAATTATAATTTGGTCACTTAATTAACTAATTAATTATTATGTGACCAAATTATAATTTTTCGTTTTTGAAGGGATTATTACTCCCAAAAAAGTGATCCGTCAATCGACTAACAACTGGGTTCCTACTGACTGCTGGTAAACAGCGGTGTGTGAGGCAAGGAAACTTGCCCGAAGCTCACCCCCTGCCCGGGAATCAAACTCAGGTCCTCTCGCTTGCGAGGCGAGGGCTCTAACCACTGAGCTACAGGTCTCCACAAAACTCGATAAAACTTATTGCAGGGTAGTTTCTCAAGCTCGTGCTCTGCATTTACATATACATGATGCACAGACTATAAATAGTTTTAAGTTGCTGACTGACACAGGGAACTGAATATGTTGGTCCTTTCGGGCTGGGCGTGGGATCAAGCTCATGCTTCCCCAAGCTCCTATGTGCTTTTACCAGAAGCTTCAGTAGCAAGCTACTGCGTGTTCATAGGACATGAGGGAAAGCATTCTGGAGTTCCCTCACTCCCCACTACTCACTCCTGTACATTCTTGGCTGGTTATAGTGTAGCACTTCCTAGTGGCTGGATTCAATGTACAGTGGAGTCCTGTAGCTTAATGGTTAGAGCACTCGCCTTGCAAGCGAGAGGACCCAGGTTGGAAAACGTGGGATGAAACCTCAGGCAAGTTTCCTTACTTGTTTCCTTACTCCTCTGTTTACCTAGCAGTAATTATGAACCCGTTTTTTAGCCGATTGGCAGATCACTTTTACAGGGGTAATAACTCAATATACGAGTTACCCATTTATTGCCCCATATTCCATTTAATATTTTCTATTTTCAAATGTTTTGTCTTATTTCCCGTTTGTTGTAGAACCTGAGGACAACCTGCGCGAGATCCTGCAGAATGTGGCCAAGCCCCAGGGGGTATCTAACATGCGGAAGCTGGGTCACCTGAACAACTTTGTCAAGGTACTTGCCAGAGACTTGCCCTGATGTCAGCATCTTCCAGTGGCCATTTACACCTCCAACAGGCATTACCGAGGAGAATGGCCATCAATGTGATCTTCAGTTGATGAGCTATGAGGAATGATTAGATGCGCTGACCAACAGCTCAAGTGATATTAAATCTGACAGATTATCAATCACTGTATTATCCATCCTTATGGCTCACCCCTTTTACAGACAAAGGCAAAATGGTGGTTCAGCTTTCAGCTGTGTTGCCTCTCTCTCTCTCTCTCCCTCTGGAACTTACTTCCAGACCCTACCTCTTGAACCTATACATTTAGTTACCTCTCTCCTACCCCTGTTTTCCCCTCCCCCAACTTTCCTCAGGGATCCTCTTTGGAGTCCTGTAGCTTAGTGGTTAGAGTACTCGCCTTGCAAGTGAGACACCTGGGTTCAACTCCAGGCAGGGCAAAACCTTGGGCAAGTTTCCTTACTTCACACGGCTGATAATAATCCCTCCAAAACAATAATAAATTGGTCATTTACAATCCACGACTGTTTGTGGGACGCTGCTGTGCACAATTGGCTGCCGCGTTTCGCCCACAAATATATAGTCAATTCACTTTACAGCATATTCTGTGAAGCGCTTTGAGACGTCGAGAAGACATGAAAAGCGCTGTATCAAATGCAAGGATTATTATTATCCACATTTTCTCTGTAAAGGGCTTTCAGACATTATCTTATTTGAATAGTGCTGTATAAGTGCAAGATGTTGTACTTAAGGTAGGGCTCTTTCTTCATCCTCTTAAAGAGGCTATTAGAGAGACATCTCAAAGAGGACCTTATGAAAAACTATTAGTATAAACAGCATTGACAAAGTAAATTCAGAACAATACTTAATAATAATAATAATGCTTACATTGTAATATTTAAACATTCTCTTGGAGCAGGAGTTTTCAAACTTTGTCATAGTGAGCCTCCTTAACCTAAGAAAAAAATCTTGCGCCTCCTTACAGTTTAGTAGAGAACTGAAAAACGATACTTTGCAAGATTACCAGTAATTAAGTAGAAAGGGCTTTGAGAAATATAGTTAGAATAAGAGTGCAAGTGTCAAAAGTACTTATTTTGTTTCATAAAGCATCTTTTGTGTTAACTCACAATTCTTATTTATGTATTACCATATTAAAGAGAGGCTTTGGAATCTTAAATGGGGCTTGACATGAAGAAGAAACAAATAGAAGGGTACGAGAGGACGTGAGTAGTTGGCGGATACTCCTGTGGAGTGCAAACACCAGCACAAACCAGTTGAGCTGACTGGCCTATTTCTGTGCTGTATATTCTATTCGATATAGCGCCTTTATCATCAGGAAGGCATCTTAAGCACTTCATAGGATATACTCTAAAGTGTAGTGACTGTGTACTTTGTAGGCAAAATGGGTTAGTTAGTTTTCACGCAACAATGTCCCACAAATAGCCATGAATAAAGGATTGTTGCCCAGGACACTGGGAGAAACTCCTTACTCTTTTCCAATAGCATCATGGGATCTTTTAACATCCACCTGATCAGGCACAGATGGGACCTCGGTTTAATGTCTCACCTGAAGGACTACATCTCCAACAAAGCATTGCTCCCTCAGCACAGCATTGGAGTGTCAACCTAAACTACATGAGTTCAGAGTCCTGCCATCGGGCTTTTACTCCCAACCTTCTGACTCACAGGCGAGAGTACTATTCACTGAGCCAATCTGACACCTCCATATTATAGAAAATACAATAATAACTCGCATTCATATAGCTCTTCACGCAGAACAGTGTCTTAGAGCAGGTCGGCACAGATTGAAGGTGTGAAGGGCAATTTTAAGACAGACCCAAGGAAGTATCTCTTTGTCAGTGGTTAGAGCACCTAGATTCGATTCCCGACAGGGTGAAACCTTAGGCAAGTTTCCATACTCCACACGCCTCAGTTTACCTCTCAGTAAGTAGGAACCAGGTTGTTAGTCAATTGGCGGGTCACTTTTCCGGGGGTAATAATCCCTTAAAAAAAATAGTAATAATTTGGTCATTCAATCCATGACTGCTTGTGGGACACTGCTTTGCGCAAGTGGCTGCTGTGTTTTGCCCACAAAATATACAATCACTTCACAGTATATTCTGTGAAGAGCTTTAGACATCTCGAAGACGTGATGAGGCTCTTGACAAAGTGCCACATGAAAGACTTGTAAGAAAGATAGAAGTCCATGGTATAAAAGGGACAGTGGCAGCGGATCCAGAACTCACTGGGAGACAGAAAGCAGAGAGTTGTGGTGAACGGCTGCTTTTCTGACTGGAGGGAAGTGTACAGTGGTGTCCCCCAGGGATCGGTATTAGGACCACTGCTCTTCTTAATATACATAAATGACCTGGACTTGGGTATAGCAAGTACCATTTCCAAGTTTGCGGACGACACAAAGTTAGGGAGGGGGTAAACAGTGAGAAGGATAGGAGCCGACTGCAGGAAGACATAGACAGATGGTAAAATGGGCGACACATGGCAGATGAGTTTCAATGTGGGGAAATGCAAAGTAATGCATTTTGGTAGAAAGAATGAGGGGCAATATAGGCGGTAATACAATCTTAAGGGGGGGTGAAGGAACAGAGAGACCTGGGGGGCAGGTAACTGAATCCTTGAAGGTGGCAGGACAGGGAGATAAGGCTGTAAAAAGGGCATATGGGATACTGGGCTTTATAAATAGGGGCATAGAGTACAAGAGTCAGGAGGTTATGATTAACCCATATAAACACTGGTTAGGCCTCAGTTAGAATACTGCCCCAGTTCTGGGCCCCACACTATAGGAAGGATGTTAAGGCATTGGAAAGGGTACAGAGGAGATTTACGAGGATGGGACCAGGAATGAGGGACCGTGATGATGAGGAAAGGCTGGAGAGGCCGGGATTATTCTCATTGGAGCAGAGAAGGTTACGAGGACCTAATAGAGGTCTTCAAAATCATGAGGGGATTTGATAGGTTAGAAAGGGAAAAACTGTTCCCACTGGTGGGAGTGTCGGTGACTCGAGGTCACAGATTTAAAATAGACTCTAAAAGAAGCCGAGGGGAGGTGAGAAGAAATTTTTTCACGCAGCGAGTTGTTCGAATCTGGAACATTGCCTGAAAGGGCGGTCGAGGCCGATTCGATAACTACTTTTAAAAACGCGGTGGACGGGTATTTGAGGAGGACGGGTTTGCAGGTTATGGGGAAAGGGCCGGGGAGTGGGACTGACATTAATTGCTCTATTCAAAGAGTCGCACAGACTCGATGGGCCGAATGGCCTCTTTTTGTGCTGGAAGAAAAAAAATATCTAATTCAAGGACTATTATTATTACTACACAGAAGGGAATCAACAACAATGTGGTCACAAGGAAAGTTGAGGCGGCCACTGTACATATTTAAGAATTATCTAATGCAGTAACGAGGAGATGCTGGAGTTGATATTCTGGAAAGCTAAGATCATCTGGGATCATCTTTATCTCTTTGTCACCTTACCAGGAGTTTTAATTGAGAGCTGAACCAAGCACTAGACATATCTTCACATGCGGCCTGTGAAAATGTGGGAGACACTGCCCCCATATGGCCAAAAACACGCACTTGAGGTGCTTAAAAGGGACATGATCAGTGTCTTCACAAGTAATGGTATTAAGGAATACGGAGAAATTGTTGGGAAATGTGATTAGAAAGATAAAGACAAAGAGTTGCCATTATTTAATAAAATCCTGGTGCAGGCTTGGCAGTCAGAATGTTCTTAAACTGAAATATATGGGCAGGGGAGTTTTTTTCACCTGAAAGGCGTTGTGGAAATGTAGGTTGTTGTGTTTGACACTCTCTCCTCTCTTCTCTTTTCCACTCACAGTTACTCTGTAACGTTGGCCACTGTGAAGAGAAACTAGGTTTTACTTATGAAGAAATTATTTTATGGTAAGTTTATAATTTTTCTTTTATATAATTTTATATAGTTTTCCTTCTCAGGTTGGTGTGGTCTGACCAGCACTTTTTCTCTTCTGGAGTTTCTGATCAAGGTGGATTCCAGGTGCTAATGTGTGTTCACAAACCAGGACTCTAGGTAACACCTTCCAGCAGCTATCGTCCCAAGCTTCAGAGTTTCCTCATCAGCTATCTGGCCAGCAAGTGCCTTCAGCGTAGTGGGAGGACCTTTACAAAACCACTTGTGATGTGCCAAGCACCTTGATGTTCTCAAGGTTCCAGTCCAATGCCATCCATGTACCAGGTTTATTCAGCACCAGCCTCTAATCCAGGTACTCATGCGATGGGCTTTGGCAAATAGATATATCCGCTGTGAAGCTGCCTCTACCTCCACGGTGCTCAGAAATACGTAAAGTGTAGGCTGGAGCCCTCCCTGGAGCTGCAATTTTACCACAAATCCATCTCACTGCCTTTTCCTGGTCCTTGCAAAAGGGCCAAAGGAAATCCTCTCCGCTCATGGCCAGTAGAAGAATCATAGAATTATACAACACAGAAGGAAGCTATTCAGCCCATCGTGCCTGTGCCAGCTCTTTGAAAGAGCTAACCAACTAGTCCCACTCACCTGCTCTTACCCCCAACACTGCAAATGTTTCCTTTTAAGTACCTCTCCATCAATTTGAAATAATTAGCAAAAAAATAATAATAATTTGTTCATTCAATCCACGACTGTTTGTAGGACTCTGTTCTGCGCAATTGGCTACCACGTTTCGCCCACAAAACACAGTCAATCCACTTTATAGTATATCCTGTGAATTCTTTGAGACATCTCAACAACACAATAGGCGCTATATCAAATGCAAACATTATTATTACTTTTCCACAATTCTGCACTTTTGTGAAGACAAAATGGTCTTGCAAGCTAAGTCTAGGTGGAATGTTGTGCCTCAGTAAAGAGCATGTCTTCTTTGTTTTAAGTATAACTTTTTAATTGTAAATGAAAATGAATGTTTTTAAGAACATAGGAATTTGCTGGCGAAAGAAAACCAAGGTTCATCTAGTTCGCCTTCCCCCATCCTGGCAGTCGTTTGACATGTTGTGTCCCAAACTATATATTGTATCACCAGATATTATTTCCTAACAGAACTCTAATTTGTTTGTGAAACAAACACTTTCTGCTTCCATCGTCTGTCTCCCTAGGGAGCCTTTTCCATATGTTTACTACTCGCTCACTGAAATAGTGTTTTTGCAGCTTTTCAGAACTTATCTCCTTTCATTCGCAGGCCATGTTCTCAGGTTCTACTGTTCAGTACAAAATAAAACAGCTTATCATGGTGCCTTTAACCCAGTTTAAAACTGCTTTTCCTCTTTGTGCAGCTTGCGATTAGCGTTATTGAATGAAGCTAAAGAGGTGCGTGCAGCTGGACTCCGTGCCCTCCGCTATCTCATCCGAGACCCCAGCATTCTACAGAAGGTGCTAAATCTGCGTGTGGACTATTTAATAGCTAGGTCAGTGCTCTTCAATCCTGTCCGCTTTCATTAGAAAATGGGGATGGGAAGCGCCGGGTGCACTGAGTTCTGTGTCATGTGTTATTAGTCTCTCCTGACAAGCAATCTTCCAGCTAAATCGCTTGTTCTCAGCATGCGGTACCTTGCTGTGCACAAATTGCCTGCTGCGTTTGCCTGTAAACACGCGTGCTACACTTTACAGCGATTGCCTATGAAGCGCATTGAGACATGATAAAACTAGGAGATTTTATCAGCATGTGCACCTGGAGAGAACACAAGCCTCACCTGAGCACTAGCCTCTCAAGCGAAAGGACCCGAGTTTGATTCCCGGGCAGGGCAAAACAATGGGCGAGTTTCCTTACTCTACACGCATCTGTTTACTTAGCAAGAAGTAGGAACCCGGTTGTTAGTCGATTGGTGTAATAATAATCCCTTAAAAAAAAGTTGGTCACTCGATCCACGATTGCCGCATTTCACCCATAAATATACAGTCAATTCACTTTACAGTACATTCTGTGAAACGCTTTGAGACATCTTGAAGATGTGATAAGGTGCCATATCAAATGCAAGGATTATTATTATTACTGTCTTTGCTCTTTCCTCAGGTGTATAGACATACAGCAGAGTAATGAGGTGGAGCGCACACAAGCACTTCGATTGGTTCGAAAGGTAAGGATTTCCTGGTGCTGCCCACATCAGTAGAGCTATGTGTGTTGGGGGATGGGTGGATGGACTGTGACAAATTAATGCTGAATTTGAGGATTTTCTCCCTCGCCTCTACTCGCCTTCAACTAACTTGGGTTTGCTTTGTGTCCCCTGTTCCCTCCGCGCCACCTTAGATGGCTCGCCTTCAGCTACTATGACTGGGCCTCTTTAACTGTGGAGTCCCTTAGTATAGTGGGAGGCACTCACCGTACAAGCGAGAGCACCTAGGTTTGATTCCCGGGCAGAGCTTACTCCACCACGCCTCTGTTTACCCAGCAGTAAATAGGAACTTGGTTGTTAGTCAATTGGCGGATGACTTTTCCGCGAGTAATAATCCCTTTTTTAAAAAAATTGGTCACTCAATCCACGACTGTTTGTGGGACGCTGCTGTGCGCAGTTGGCTGCTGCTTTTCGCCCACAAAATATACAGTGTCAATTCACTTTACAGTATATTCTGTTAAGCGCCTTGAGACGTCTAGAAGATATGATGAGGCGCTATATCAAATGTAAGGATTATTATTATAAAGGAGGCAGTCAGGCATGATTAATCTCTGTAAAGGTTAGTTTCTGTGGCTGGCTGTGGAGTCTGTATTTCTAAATGCAAAAAGTGCAGCGACTTCTTGCTCCAAGCTAGCAGTCACTGCAGCAACGGTGCACATTGCACTCTTGCTGCTTCTCTCTGCCTGTGAAGAAAACTGCACTCCTGATCTCTTGACCCCATCCCCACTCCACTCCTTATCTCTCAGCTCCACCTCCTTGCCCCACTTATCACAGGTATCATCAACCTGTCCTCTCCTCTGGCTCTGTTCCCATTCCCCTAAAAACCGCCATCATCACTCCCACTTTGAAAAAACCCTCCCTTGATGTGTCGCAGCTATCAAGCTACCGGCCCATCTCCAACCTCCCCTTCCTGTCCAAGGTCCTTGAAAGAGTTTTGGCCTCCCAGCTGCGCTCTTTCCTCTCCACCCATGCATTATTTGAACCCCTTCAGTCGGGTTTCCGTGCTGCCCATAGCACAGAAACCACCCTGGTCAAGGTCACCAATGACATCTTGACCATCTGTGACCAGGGCTCCCTCTGCCTCCTCGTCCTCCTCGACCTATCGGCCGCATTCGATATGGTCGACCACGCTATCCTCCACCGCTTGTCCTCCCACCTCAACCTTCAAGGCCCTGTCCTTGAGTGGTTTAGGTCGTACCTCTCCCACCGTCTTCATTTTGTTCCCACACACGTTTTTTTCTCCAGCCCCTGCACTGTCTCGTGCAGTGTCCCTCAGGGCTCTGTCCTCGGTCCCCTCCTCTTCACCCTCTATATGCTCCCCCTTTGGTGACATCATCCGCAAACATGGGGTTAACTTCCACATGTATGCGGATGACACCCAACTCTACCTTTCCTCCTCTACCCTCAACTCCACGACCCCCGATGTCCTGACAGCTGTCTGTCCGTCATCGAGTCCTGGACGAGAGACAACTTTCTTCAGCTCAACGTGCGCAAAACTGAGGCCCTCCTGATTGGCTCACGTCAGCGCCTCCGCACCTCAGGCGCTGACACCATCAGCTCCGCACTCTCCACCTCTCAAAGCCGGTCAGGAACCTCGGGGTTCTGTTCGACCCTGAGCTGTCCTTCCTCCCTGATATCCGCACCACAACTGGCACCGCCTTCCATCACCTCCGGAATATCGCCAGACTACGGCACTACCTCACCCCTCACGCGGCTGAAACTCTGGTCCACACCTTTATCACCTCAAGGCTGGACTATGGGAACTCTCTCCTCGCGGCCTTCCCGGCCCTCCCTCCACACTGCAGGTCATTCAGAACTCTGCAGCTCGTGTACTGTCCCGCACCAGGCTTCGGGACCACATCACTCTCACCCTCGCCCACTCACTCGCCCACCCTCGCCCTCACTCCCACCCTCGCCCTCACCCTCACCATCGCTCGCCCCCTCGCCCTCACCTCCCCACCCTCCCCCCCTCACCCTCGCTCGCCTCCACTGGCTCCCCATCCCCCAGAGGATCGAATTCAAGATCCTCACCCTCACCTACAAGGCCATTCACGGCCTTGCTCCCTCCTACCTCTCTGACCTACTATCCCCCTACTTACCTGCCCGTACCCTCCGTTCCTCTGGCTCCGGTCTGCTCCACGTCCCCCGCCCCAACCGCCCTACCATCGGTGGCCGGGCCTTCAGCCTCTCAGCCCCGAGGCTCTGGAACTCCATCCCCCAGTGCCTTCGCCGCTTTCTCCTTCAAGGCCGGTTTCAAGACCTTTCTCTTTGACCGTGCCTTCAGCTCCCCTCTCGACTCTCTACCCCTTCCTTGCCCCCTCCCTTCCCTCCCCTCACCCTGACCATTTTCCCCCCTCCTCGCTCCCTCCCTACCCTTCCCTCACCCTGACCATTTCCTCCCAATGCTCGGGTCCTGACCCAATTGTCCAGCGCCTTGGGACGTCCTCCCGCCGTGAAAGACGCTCTATAAATGAAATCTTGTTGTTGTTGCTGCTTCTCTCTGCCTGTGAAGAAAACTGCACTCCTGCTGCTTCTCTTTGCCTGTGAAGCAAACTGCCCACCACTGTGTATTTGTGCCTTTTCTACAGACACTTCAAGCGACACCCGATTTGCGGTTGCCAGAGCAGCTTGTTTTTGTGTGTCAGGGACTGTCCTATATGACTGGACATCCTGTCTAGTGGTTTCTCAGCTGAATGCCGCAGTAGGCAACCTCAGGAGGCTTCTTGGAAACTGAACGACCTCAGAGTTCCTCTGCGGGGGGGAGGCGAGGGTTCTGTTTAACTTGATGGAGGCAGTGAAATCCTTGTCATTTGCATCTTGTGGCTGGTAAACAAAGTCAGGAACTTCCCCTGCTAACCGATGACTCAGCTCATTTGTAATGTTTGCAGGTTCTGTGAAGCAAGAGAGCATTAGCGTATCTGATCTGCCACTGACATAGGTTAATAATAGTCAACTCTTACTCTAAATCTTTATAACTGGAAATCCAAAATCGAAAAGCCTAACCAAACGTTGGCTATTTTTAACTTGAAAACTCTTGAATGCATTTAATTCTTCTGGTCGGAATGTTGTTGTGTTTTTTGGGGGTCGGGCGGATGTCCACCACACGTGGAAACACATCTCCATACTTAAGAATGTTCAAAGTAAACTTGAGTTTCACCTGTGTGTATGGCACCTACACATGGAAATGCTCCTGTGTTTACAAGGTTGTTGGTGCCTGCTGCACATTGGGACTAGTGCTCACAGTGTAGTTGATGTTCTAACAACCACAAATGACATTTACCCAGCGCCTTTCACGTTGGGAGGATGTCCTAAGGGGTTAGACAGTCAGGGACTTGGACCCAAGTTGGGGGTTGGGATCAGGAGGGTTGGAGGGCGGGCGGGGAGGGTGTGGTAGAATGGGGGCTGAAGGTGCGGTCAAAGAGAAGGGTCTTGAGATATACCTTGAAAGAGGCAAAGGAGGGGGCAAGGCAAAGGTCACAGTATTGGGCGAGTACTGTATTGTCACACATACGAGTCGGTCCTGGTGGACATTAAAGATCACAGGACTATTGGAAAACAGAAGGGAGTTAATCCAATTGGCCTGACCATTAATTCTATAGAAAACTTTCACTTCTAAGCTGTGAATGGGTCCCAGCTCTGCATTTTCTTCCCAAAAACAGTCATTACACTTTAACATAGAAATTAACATCGAGGCATTTCATTGGGCAAGTTTCCTTACTCTGTTTACACGCCTCTGTTTACCCAGCAGTAAGTAGGAACACGGTTGTTCGTTTGTGGGACGCTGCTGTGCGCAATCTGCTTTCGCGTTCCGCCCACAAAATATGCAGTCACTACACTTTACAGTATATTCTGTGAAGCGCTTGGAGACAACAACAACAACAAGATTCCATTTATTGAGCGCCTTTCACGTCGGGAGGACGTCCCAAGGCGCTGTACAGTTGGGTCAGGACCCGAGCAGGGGGGAAATGGTCAGGGTGAGGGGAGGGAGCGAGGAAGGGGGAAATGGTCAGGGTGAGGGGAGGGAAGGGAGGGAGCGAGGAGGGGGTAGAGAGTCGAGAGGGGAGCTGAAGGCTGAAGGTCAAAGAGAAAGGTCTTGAGACCGGCCTTGAAGGAGGAAAGGGAGGAGGCGGTGAAGGCACTGGGGATAGAGTTCCAGAGCCTCGGGGCTGAGAGGCTGAAGGCCACCGATGGTAGGGCGGTTGGGGCGGGGGATGTGGAGCAGACCGGAGCCAGAGGAACGGAGGGTACGGGCAGGTAAGTAGGGGGATAGTAGGTCGGAGAGGTAGGAGGGAGCGAGGCCATGAATGGCCTTGTAGGTGAGGATGAGGATCTTGAATTCGATCCTCTGGGGGATGGGGAGCCAGTGGAGGCGAGCGAGGGTGAGGGTGGGAGTGAGGGCGAGGGCGAGGGTGAGGGTGGGAGTGAGGGCGAGGGTGGGAGTGAGGGCGAGGGTGGGAGTGAGGGCGAGGGTGGGAGTGAGGGCGAGGGTGGGAGTGATGTGGTCTCGGTGTCTGGTGCGGGACAGTACACGAGCTGCAGAGTTCTGAATGACCTGCAGTGTGGAGGGAGGGCCGGGAAGGCCGGCGAGGAGAGAGTTCCCATAGTCTGGCCTTGAGCTGATAAAGGTGTGGACCAGAGTTTCAGCCGCGTGAGGGGTGAGGTAATGCCGTAGTCTGGCGATGTTCCGGAGGTGATGGAAGGCGGTGCCAGTTGTGGTGCGGATATGAGGGAGAAAGGACAGCTCAGGGTCGAACAGAACCCCGAGGTTCCTGACGTCTCGAAGAAGTGATAAAGCGCTATATCAAATGCATGGATTATTATCTTCCAACCCTGTTCAGTGAGCTGCTTTTAACTCTTGTGTGTTTCTCTCTCTCTCTCCCCCTCTCTTTTTTCCCCTCTCTCTCTTCCCCTCTCTGTCTTCCCTCCTCCTCTCTCTCCCCTCTATCTCTCTCCGTGTGGTACTCAGATGATCACTGTGAACGCAGCACTCTTCCCCAGCTCCATCACCAATTCCCTGATTGCAGTGGGGAACGACGGACTCCAGGAGAGGGATCGAATGGTGCGGGCGTGCCTGGCCATCCTCTGTGAACTAGGTATCTGAAAGATTGTTTCTCATTTTCTGATGGCTTTCCTGCATCTGAGACTGAGTATTCATAACAGCTTCTTAGCCATGTAAGCAGGCACTGAACAAGCAATGCTATGTCTGCTTATCTCAGTGTCAGGCGGTCTCAGTCGGTAGCACTCCTTCCTCTTAGTACAAAGGTTGTCAGTTCAAAGCCTCTCGTTCAGTCTTTTTCCTGTAACTTAGTGGTTAGTGTGCTTGCCTCGCAAGCGAGAGGACCTAACTTCGATTCCCAGCCCGGGCGAAACGCTGGGCAAGTTTCCTTATTCCACACGCCTCTGTGTGCAATTGGCTGATGGGTTTCTCCCACAAAATATACAGTTAATTCACTTTACAATATATTCTGATCTTTGAGATATTGAGAAGATGTGATAAGGCGTTATATCAAAATGCAAAGATTATTTGGCAGCAGAAATATGATGCTCTTTGGATGAGACATTACACTGATGGTGAAAGAACTGATGTCCTATTTGCCTGTTCACGTACACCTCAATGCCCCACAACACTGATGGAAACAAAGGAGTTGTTCTTCATGGGAAAATCATTCTGCAGAATAAATTGGACATTCACTTCATGGCTGTTTTTAACACTACAGTATGCAAATTGTCTGCCTGGGTTTAGCTGTGCTACAGTTGACACTTGAACGACCTGTGTTTTTGGTCAGAACCCTGGCGGAAACACTTTGAGACATAGGTGCTGTATCAAATGCAAGGATCATTCAAGTCTAGCCTGCTGTCTCTATTGCGGTTAGGATCGGTTTCATGACTTATTTGTGGAACATTGATGTTTGCTAATTAGCTAGTATGTTTGTCTTCAAAACATCCATACTAGACTGCACAGTAAGTCCTGTAAAGTGCTTTGAGTCTCCTCCTCCACCTCTTGTGAAAGGCTCTATGTAAAATGCAACATGCAAAGTTTATTTGTGGAGTCCTGTAGCATAGTGGTTAGCTTGCTCACCTCGCAAGCAAGAGGACCTGGATTTGTTTCCCGGGCTAGATGGAATGCTAGGAACGTTTCTTTACTCCACATTGCCTCTGTTTACCCAGAAGTAAGTAGGATCGATTGGAGAATTGCTTTTCCGGGGATAATAATCCCTTCAAAAAAATAATAATTTGGTCTCTCGATCCCACTGTTTGTGGGACACTGCTGTGTGCAATTAACTGCTGGGATTCGCCCAAAAATATACAATCAATTCACTTTATATTACATTCTATGAAGCACTGTGAAGAACTTGATAAGGCACTATATCAAATGCAAGTTATTATTATACGTTATTTATTAGAATCGTTTATTGTACACACTGTTTCTCTCCAGCACTACAGAACGCAGAGGTAGTAGCTACGAGAGGAGGGCTCAGCACTATCCTGAAGAACGTGATTGACTGCCAACTGAACCGAATAAACGAGGCCCTCATCACCACCATTCTCCATCTCCTCAACCACCCAAAGACACGGAAATATATAAGGGCCGATGTGGAGCTGGAGGTATGGTCGAAGAACACTCCTTATCCCCAAGAGAAACAGTGCATTAACTCCATAATCTGGTTCCATCTAGTCTTAGCCTGTAAGAGTCCTGTGGCTTAGTGGTTAGAGCCCTCGTCTCGCAGCGAGAGGACCTGGGATTGATTCACGGGCAGGGCAAAATGTTTAGCAAGTTTCTTTACTGCACGCACCTCTGTTTACCCAGCAGTAAGTAGGAACCCTGTTGATCGTCGATTAGTGGATCACTTTTCTGGGGGTAATAACCCCTTTTTAAAAAAAAATAATAATTTGGTCTTTCAATCCACGACTGTTTGTGGGATGCTGCTGTGCTTAATTGGCTGTCTCGTATCGCCCCAAAAAATTCAGTCAATTCACTTTAGAGAATATTCTGTGAAGGGCTTTGAGATGTCTTGAAGACATGATAAGGCACTTTATCAAATGAGAGGATTATTATTATTGTCTCACGGTAACTGGGCATTACAAATCTCATAGCGTTGTGTGTAACTATAGCAGGGCATTTGTCCTGATGTCCTTATCTAAAGTCACTGATTTAACTCGTCATTATCTCATCGCTGTGTGTGAGGTATTAATACCTGGGTAGGTTAATTTGTGTGCTTCCCCACATAAGACACTACACTTGTATTAAAATAAAATTGGTCACTCACTTCATGGCTGTTTGTGGGACACTGCTGTGCACAAACTGGCTGCCACAATTCGCCCATAAAATATACAGTCATTCCACTTTACAATATCTCGTGTGAAGCACTGTGAGATGTCTCAAACGACATGATAAGGCTCTACATCAAATGCAAGGATTATTAATAATAATAATAAAAGTAATCCTTACATTTGATCTAGCGCCTTATCACATCTACGAGACTTATTATTATACTGAGTATGTGCAGAATTGATGAGATGAGGCAATGGATTAAATGCATGTCCTGATTTTGCTTGTTCTTATTGACGATGGGTTTGCAATGACCTTCTGTTTTTCTCCTGTCTTCGCAGCAAATTTTAGCTCCATACACGGACTTTCACTACAGACATAACCCAGACACTGCGGAAGGACAGCTCAAGTAAGCAGTTTCCCCCTCATACATCTTGGCTTTAAGCCTAGGCGAGGTGTGAGCGAGTGAGGTGGCGACAAGGGTCTGGAAGCACGAATACATACATCCCAATGGTCAGAGCAAGGCTCTCTCAGGCCAGGGTAAATGTGCTGTCCCCAGCTTCCAAGGATAAGACGCTATATCAAACACAAGGATTTTATATATATATATATATATATATATAATAGCATGCAGTTTTGTAACTAGAGAAGACCATTTAGTCCATCATGGAGTCCTGTAGCTCAGTGGTTAGCGCACTCGCCTCGCAAGCGAGAGGACCTTGGTTTGATTCCCAGGCAGGGCGAAACCTTAGGCAAGTTTTCTTACACCGCACACTTCTGTTTACCTAGCAATATATAGGATCCCGGTTGTTAGTCAATTGGCAGATTGCTTTTCTGGTGGTAATATTCTCTTAAAAATAATAATAATAATAATTTTGCTTACTCAATCCACGATTGTTTAAAGGACACTACTGTGTGCAATTGGCTGCCGCATTTAATCCACAAAAATTGTAGTCAATATACAGTATATTCTATGAAGCGCTTTGAGACGTCGCAACAATGTAATAAGGTGCTATATCAAATGCAATGATTATTACAGTACAACTGTTTACAGTGTGTGACAGCTCTGTTGCCTTCTTTCTGTACAGAGAGGATCGTGAAGCACGCTTACTAGCCAGCAAAATGGCCATCGTGGCAGCTTTCCGATCGTGGGCAGGTAGGTATCCTCATTTTAATAACCTTTTCTGGCTAATGGTCCTTATAATATTACAACTGCCATACATCCTGATCTTTCTTATACTAGTAAAGTGTCTGTCTCTGTCTGTCTGTTACGCAATAATCGGTTGACGTAGAGACATGATTTATACCTCATCTGAAAGGTTTTGCAACTAGCAGTGTTGTGGGCATATTTTGGGGGGATCTTCTATCGCTGATGAACTATATTAACAAATGCTTTAATTAAGCCCCAAAATATGAGGCATGCATCGTAGTCTGCAATTCTGTAGCGACAATCGAACGATCAACTAGTGACTATCCTCCTTGTGGGGAGATAAGCAGGGTCTCCTCGGAGCTGAACTGGCCCCACGGTGATATGTTTGGCAACGGAATGTTGAAATCAAGCCAGGCCTCTGTGACGGTCTCTCATCCGCAGTGCAGCACAGCCCGGCCTGGCTCAGTGGCAGGACCTGGAAGGCCGACAGGTCACTGAGGGCAGGGAATCCTCCCACTCAGCTCCTGTTAAACCTGCAGCCAAAGCCCTAACGAGTAAGGTGATCCTAGCTGGACAAGCAGCAGGAGATATAAACCATTATCCCCCTAGATCAGATCTCAGCTGTAACTTTCTCTCGTGGTATGTTATTCTATATACAGGGTGACCAAAAAGTCGTGATATTTACCGTATTATCTAAAAAAAAATCATTTCTCTAAGACATATTAGACATTGTAATGGTATCATGACTTTTTGGTCACCCTGTCCAAACCCTAAAACCTGTATCAGGTCCCAGTCTGTACCTCACTCCTGAGAATCTCTATAAACCATTTAAATTCCTGAATCATTCATAGATTCATAGAATGTTATGACACAGAAGGAGGCCATTCGGCCCATCGAGTCTGTGCGGCTCTTTGACAGAGCGTCACTTTCATTAACCCCAAATCACCAGCTTTCTCCCCATAACCCCACAAACCCGTCTTCCCCGATACCTGTCCAGTTCTCTCTTAAAAGCTGTTATCGAATCGGACTTCACTGCCCTTTCGGGCGGATCATTCCAAATTCTAACAACTCGCTGAGTGAAAAATTTCCTTCTAACCTCCCCTCTGCTTCTTTTGGTAGATATCTTAAGACTGTGACCACGGGTCACAGACACACCTACCAGCGGAAACAGCTTTTCCCTATCTCGCCTGTCGAAACCTTTCATGATCTTGAAGACCTCTATCAGGTCCCCGCGTAACCTTCTCTGCTCTAATGGGAAAAGTCCTAACTTCTCCACTGTCCTCATAGCTAAGGTTCCCCATTCCTGGTATCATTCTCGTGAATCTCCTCTGCACCCTTTCCAGTGCCTTAATGTCCTTCCTGAGGTAAGGTGCCCAGAACTGGACGCAGTACTCCAGCTGAGGCCTAACCAGTGTTTTGTATAGATTAACCATAACCCCTACTCTTATACTCTATGCCCCTACTAATAAAGCTCAGTACACCAAATGCCTTTTTTACTGCCCTATCTACCTGCCCCACTACCTTTAATGATTCGCTTACTTGAACACCCAGATCTCTCTGTACGTTCACCCCCCTTAAGATTGAGCTCCAAGTCTATATTGCCTCCTATCATTTTTCCTCCCTAAGTGTATCACCTCACACTTATCCACATTGAAATCCATCTGCCACATGTCAGCCCATTCCACCATTCTGTGTATGTCTGCCTGCAGTTGGTTACAGTCCTCCTCACTATTTACTGCCTGACCTAACTATATCATCTGCAAACTTGGAAATAGTGCTCTCTATGCCCAAGTCCAGATCATTAATATATATTAGAAAGAGCAATACCGATCCCTGGGGGACACTGCTGCACACCTCCTTCCATTTTGAGAAACACCCATTAACCAACACCCTCTGCTCTCTGTCACTCAGCCAGTTCCTAATCCAAACTGCCACTGTCCCCTTAATACTGTGGGCCTCTAATTTTTTTATTAATCCCTTATGCGATACTGTTTCAAAAGCCTTTTTGAAATCCATGTAAATAACGTCCACGGCAATCAGATGTTTTGGTTGAGCTGTGTAGAAGCACTGAATCATGAAGGTATTTATAGGTAGAATTATCACAGAGCTACCTGCAATTGAAGCATAGTGGAGTTCTATAGCTCAGTGGTTAGAGCACTTGCCTCCCAAGCGAGAGGATCTGGGTTCAGTTTCCGGGCAGGGTGAAACTTTAGGCAAATTTGCTTACTCCACACACCACTGTTTACCTAGCAGCAAGAAGAAAACCAGTTGTTAGTCGATTGGCAGATTGCTTTACTGGGAGTAATAATCCCTTCAAAATAAATGAATAATAATAATTTGGTCATTCAATTCACGACTGTTTGTGGGACGCTGCTGTATGCAATTGACTGCTGCGCTTCGCCCACAAAATATACAGACAATTCACTTCACAGTATATGCTGTGAAGCACTTTGAGACGTCTCGAAGACTTGATGAGGCTCTATATCAAATGCAAGGATTATTATTAATAATTGGCTGGTCTGTTTCTGTTTCAGGAATTATTAACCTGTGCCGGCCAGGAAACTCGGGGATCCAGTCTCTAATAGGAATTCTATGTATACCAAATATGGAAGTGCGGGTAGGTACCCAGGCAGGACAGAGACTGATCTCAACACTCTAAGGCCAACTCACATGAAAATGATTTGTTTTTTGTGGCATGATTAGCTGCCACTTTTGCATCTGATGCTATATTAAATATAGTGTTTTTTTTCTAGATTATCATCCCTTTCCTCTGCTTTGAGATTCAAGTAGCTGTTAAAGGAATTTCTTTCAAATGCTCCTTCCTCCCCCCACCCCCCCACATAAGTACACACACACGGACAGACACATACACACAGACACCATTTCAAAGAAACATGGAGTCTTTCTCCTAGTTTCTCTTGGTTTTCATTCCTCTTCACGTTCCAATTATAATATATTTACCCAGTTGCAGTGACACTGAGACACAGGCCTAATAAATGCTCTTCTAAATATTTCCCTGAATATCTCCTTTTCCTTTGTAATGTTTTTTTCACTGAGGTCATTTCAGGAAATTTTAAATGAAATAAAATAAAATTTAATTTAATTGGAGTTGAGATATAGATCAGCCATGATCTAATAGAACAGCAGAATAAACTTGAGGGGCTGAATGGCCTTCTCCTGTTCCCTATGTTCAGTGTGAAAGTTTTGAGCTCACATTCCAGTCTGGCACTTACTCAGTGCAGTAGAGGCAAACATACCTTCCTAGGGTTGACACATCAAAGCAAGGTCTCATCTGCCTGTTCTGGCTATTGGAAAAGAGAAGGGAGTTTCTCCCAATGTCCTGGCCAAACCAGCCTACGGATTAATTGGTCGTTCACCTCATGGCTGTTTGTGGCACCTTGCTATGTGTAAAATAGCTGCCATGTTTACATACAAAAATAGTCAGCACACATGGCAGCAATTCATGGTGAAAAGTTTTGAGATGTTCTCCGATGCCTGGGTTATTATACTGTAGGAGTTAACAGCATAAAAAGTATCAGTCAACTTCATTAAAGAGGCTCCAAATGTGATGAACTGTGTGATCTGCTTCTTGCAAAGAAACCTGCAAAGCCCTCCACGGCCTGGCTCCTTCCGACTTCTGTGACCTGCTAACGCGATATCAACCTGTCCGCTCTCTCCACTCAGCAGGCTTCAGCCTGCTCCACGTCCCTTGCCCAGCCCATCCCACCGTCGGCGATCAGGCCTTTATCCACTCTGCCCCACCATTTGTAACTCCAGTCCCTTTACCTAATTCCCTCCCTTGCCTCCTTCAAGGCGGGTCTCAAGACTGCGCTTTCCGTCACCCTCTTGCCCCTCCTGATCCCAACCCCTAGCTTGGGTCCAAATTCCTAAGTGTCCAGCGCCTTGGGACGTCCTCCGGATGTGAAAGGCACTGTGCAAATATAATGTGTTGTTAGTGTTGTTGCAAAGACTGACTTGTGTGTCTTCTCTCCACAGCGAGGACTACTGGAGGTCCTGTATGATATCTTCCGGTTGCCTGTCCCGGTGGGCACACAGGACTTTTCTGAAGCTCTGATCAGTGTAGGTGGGTTCCAACACCAGACAAACCATCTGCAGTGTCCCACGATTAGTTAGACAAGAAGCCAGCTTAGCCTTGGACACATGAGAATCAAAACTCCACCTAATTTTAGCCTGTGAGACAAGTTTGTCTAAAAACATAAAGAGCTCAGACTTTAATACAATCATCTCTCAAACATTTCTTGTCTCGTGCAATCTTTCCCAGCTCCGGCTATATCGCCTCACAGCTCAGATGGCACTGGGTGCAGATAAGAGAGAGATGGTGTCAGGGTGCAGGTTTGATAGCCGTATCTACCTGGATGGAGCTACGATCACTGAGGAGATTGCTGCATGGACATAAACAGGCTAGCAGAATGGTCTGGCAGATGGCAAATGAATTTTAATGCAGGAAAATGCAAAGTGATTCACTTTGGAAACAAAAATAAAGAAGTTGTTTAGTCTGGCTGGCAGGGATCTGAGAGGAACAAAGAGATCTGAGGACTCATATTCCCCCCAATCACTAAATGTAGCTACACAGGTAGATAAGGCTATGACAAGGGCAATGGGGTCTTGGCTTTATACCTAGTAGAATAAAATATAAAAGTGATGTTGAATTTATACAAAACCTTGCTTGGACCACATTTTGAGTAGTGTAATTGTGGTCTCCGCACTATAGGAAGGATGTAGCAGAGATGGAAAGAGTGCAGTGTAGGTTTACGGGGATGATGCCAGGGCTGGCACGTTAATGCTATCAGGATAGACTTGAGAGGTTGAGTCTTTTTTCGCTGGAGAAGAGACATTTAAGGGAGGAACAAAATAGAAGTGTTTAAATTATAAAAAGGTTTGATAAGGTTAGCATAAAAAGGCTGTTCCCACCAGTTAGGGAGTCGTTAACTCGGGATCACAAGTATAAGAATAGTGACTACGGGATCTAAAAGATAATTTAGGAGCAACTACTTTACCCTACAGGACTTGTGGAGTCCTATAACTCAGTGGTTAGAGCACTTGCCTTGCAAGCGAGATACCTGAGTTCAATTCCAGACAGGACGAAACCTTGAGCAAGTTTCTTTACTCCATACGCCTAATAATAATCCCTCCAAAAAACAAACAATAATAAATTGGTCATTTTCAATCCACGACTGTTTGTGGGACGCTGCTGTGCGCAGTTAGCTGCCGCGTTTTGCCCACAAGTATACAGTCGATTCACTTTACAGTATATTCTGTGAAGCGCTTTGAGACGTCTAGAAGTGCTATGTCAAATGCAAGGATTATTATTATTATTATTATTCACCCAGAGGGCAGTGAAATTGTGGAAATCGCTGTCTGAAGAGGGGGTTCAATAATAGTAATCCTTGCGTTTGATATAGCGCTTAATTACATCTTCAAGACGTCTCAAAGAGCTTCACAGAATATAAGGTAAAGTAAATTAACTACATTTATTCAGACAGTGTAGATGGATTCAAGAGGAAGCTTGATCTTCACATGAGGGAGAGGGGAACAGAAGGATGTGAGAGGGAGTAAAGAGGGGTGGAGACTTGTGTGTAATATAAACATCAGCATGGACTGGTTGGGCCGAGTGGCCGGTTCCTGAGCCTTACAGTCTCTGTAAATCTTTATAAATCCTCCCAACAGATCCCAGCCGATTCCAGGACTCCTGGCGTCTCTCTGATGGGTTTATCGCAGCGGAGGCTAAAACCATCCTACCCCATCGAGCTCGGTCCAGGTACGTGACCCTGTGTGTGTGAGCGCAGGCGCGCAATACAGTACAGTCGACATAACAGTGCTATAAAATGGTCGTCTTGGTGCTTGGGACCCCATGGGGACCATTTTTGCCAGGAGCTCAGTGTTCCTGGGCTTGTGCTGGTCAATCACTAATCAGTGCTGTGTTTACAGGCCTGACCTGATGGATAACTACCTGTCACTGGTGCTGTCGGCCTTCGTCAACAACGGGCTACTGGAGGTAACAAAGGCCATGGCCATTACATTCGCTTTATTTCACACCGGTTGTACTTCTGTAGCTCAGTGGTGAGAGCGCTTGCTTCGCAATCGATTCAATTCCGGGGCAGGGCCAAACAATAAGTTAAGCAGGTTTCCTTACTCCACACACCTCTGTTTACCTAGATGTAATTGGAAATTCGGTTGTTAGTTGATTGGCAGGTCACTTTTCCAGAGGTAATAATCCCTTTAAAAATAATAACTTGGTCACTCAATCCACGACTGTTTTGGAGCACTGCCAAAATATAAAGTCGCTATATTTTACAGTATATTCTGTGAAGCGCTTTGAGACGTCTTGAAGATGTAATAAGGTACTGTATCAAATGCAAGGGTTGTTATTACAGGGTGAAAGGCCTTCTGGAAGTCCAGGAGCCCCAAATTCCACCTCAACTCGGCCTGTCTTCCAACAATTTTGTCTTAAAGCATAACGTGGAATAACAACTTGTATTTATATCGGGCGTTTCACTCGGGGTAGCATCTTGGAACGCTTAACAATGATGGAGCTTGCCACCAAGCCAGGGGAGAGGGGGGGGAGGTGGTTGTAGGCATGGTACCATTGAAGAGGAAGGTCTTCAGGTGCGATCTGAAGATGGGTAAAGAGGGGAAATGGTAAAGGGATTGAGGGAGGGAATGTCAGAGCATCGGGCGTTGTGACTGAAAGCACTTCTGCTGATGGCCACCAATAGCGTTTTCATGGGAATTAATTCAAACCATAACAAGCCTGTGATGAAGAACAATCCATTAACAATTCTACAGGATAAAACTTTAGTCTAGAACCTGGTCAGCACCAGGGTTGGTTAAGCTGTGTCGTGTTGGTGCCTCGGCTCTCATCTGTCTTTCTCTTTCCAAAGAGTTTGGTTGAAGTGATCACCAGCAGCAATGATAACGTGTCTGTGAGGGCCACCATCCTGCTGGGCGAGCTCCTGCACATGGTACGTCAGTGAACTCTTTCTCTCCCGCGGGCTGTAACTGGGTGGCATTGCTGAGGTCTGTCCTCTGTATAATTGCCAGCGTGTATAATGCCAGCGTCTAAATGGGTGACATTATAGACAGAGCTGTGTAACGACAACAGATTGCACTTACAGAGCACCTTTCACGTCGGGAAGACGTCCGAAGACTCTGGACAGTGAAGGGTTTGCCCCCGAGCTGGGGGTTGGAGAGGGATGAAGGGCAGGGAAGTGGAGGAGGGAAGGTGATCGAAGGCCCAGTGGAATAGGAGGTGAGGAAGGAAGTGAGCCGGAGGGACTCCGGGGTAGAGTTCCAGAGGGAGGGGGCAGAAAGGCTGAAGGTCCAAGCACCGATAGTGGAACAGGCAGCGTGGGGAATGCAGAGCAGGGTGAAGACAGTGGACAGGTTAGTGAACTTTTAATCGATTGCAGAGGTAGGGAGGAGCAATACTGTGGAGGGCTTTGAAGATGAGGACGAGGATCTTGAAGTTGATCCTCTGGGCAGTGGGGAGCCAGTGAAGGCGGGTTAGGATGGGGGTGATTGGCTCACGAAGCTTAGTGAGGTTATGCCCTGGCACTGTACACAATGCCAGGCTGTAACTGGATGACATTGTAGAGCTATGTACAGAGAGCCAAGGAATAACTGCACTGAGCTGGGTAGCATTGTGGAGCTGTGTACACAGTGGCAAGGTAACTGGGTGGCATTGCACCGTCTAGCCCTGGTCTGCAGCATAAGGAGTTTAAGGATCTTTAGACTAACTCTGTCCACTTCCTGTTTTGCAGGCGAACACAATCCTCCCGTACACGTACAGCCACCACTTGCACTGTTTACCTACCCTCATGAACATGGCGGCCTCCTTCGATATTCCCCAAGAGAAACGTCTGTAAGTGTTATTCTGCCTATTACCAGGGACTGTGTTACCAGAGCTGGTCAATGGTAGCTCAGTGGTTAGACCGCCCGTCTCGCAAGCGAGAGGACCTGGGTTTCATTCCCAGGCAGTGTCAAATGTTTGGCAAATTTCCTTACTCCCCTGTTTACCTAGCAGTAAGTAGGAACCCAGTTGTTAGTTGACTGGCAAATCGTTTTTCCGAAGGGTAATAATCCCTTCAAAAAATGTAACTAAAATAATAATTTGGTCACTCAATCCGGGACTGCTTGCAGGACACTGCTGTGCGCAATTAGCTGACGTGTTTTGCGCACAAAGTACACAGTCAATTCACATTACAGTATATTCTGTGAAGCACTTTGAGACGTCTAGAAGACATAATAAGGTGCTATTATCAACAACAGCAACAAGATTATATTTGTATAGCATCTTTCACGTCGGGAGGACGTCCCAAGGTGCTGGACAGAGTACAGTATTTTAGACCCGAGCTGGGGTCGGGGGAGAAGGGAGGGGAGGGGAAGAGGGATGGCTGATGGCATAGTTGAAGAGGAGGGTCTTGAGGCGGGACTTGAAGGAGGCTAAAGAGGAGGCGAGGCGGAGTGACTGGGGGATGGAATTCCAGAGGTTGGGGGCAGAGTGGCTGAAGGCTCTCCTGCCAATGGTGGGGCGGGTGGGTGTGAAATGCAAGTATATATCAAATGCAAGGATTACTATTATCAGCTAACCGGAGAGGTACATGATGAAGAATTCCGTTATCCAGTGTGAGCAGTATAGCAGCTGACACCAACAACAACAACAAAATCACATTTGTAAGGCGCCTTTCACGTCGGGAGGACGTCCCAAGGCGCTGGACAGACAAAGTTATATACCCGAGCTGGAGGTAGGGGTGGGGGAGGGTGGAGGGCAGGGGCAGAAGCAGGGAGATCGAAAGCACAGTTGAAGAGGAGGGTTTTGGGATGGGTCTTGAAGGTGGCGAGGGAGGGGGTGAGACAGGGAGAACTGCGGGATGGAGTTCCAGAGGGTGGGGGCAGAGTGGCGGAAGGCCCACCCGCCAATAGTGGGGCGAGCGAGGCAGGGGATGTGAAGCAGGCCGGAGCCTGCTGAGTGGAGGGAGCGGGCAGGATGGTCGGGGGTTAGCAAGTCGCAGAGGTAGAGGGGAGCAAGACCATGGAAGGTTTTGAAGGTGAGGACCAGGATCTTGAACTGTATCCTCTGTGTGATGGAAACTAGTGAAGTCGGGGGTGATATGGTCACGGAGCCTGGTGCGGGAGGACACAGGCTGCAGAGTTCTGGATGATTTACAGCCTGTGGAGGGAGGAGTTGGGGGCCGACAAGCAGGGAGTTTGCATAGTCGAGCTTGGCTGAAATGAAGGCAAGTGTGAGGGTCTCGGGGGCCTGCGGTGTGAGACAGTGGGGGAGCCGGGCGATGTTGCGGAGGTGGGGAAGGCAGAGCAGATTATGACGCATATGTGGGGTAGAAAGGATAGTTGAGGGTCAAACAAGACACCAAGGTTCCGGACTGGCTTCGTGAGGTGGAGTGTGCAACCATGGAAGTTTCTCACCTCTTCCACCTACCCGATCTGCCCCTAAAACTCTCTGAACCCGTACTCAACCTAGGCGTCAGGTTCAACCCCCAATTATCCTTCCTCCCCCACATCGAGTCCCTCACCAGCACCGCTTTCTTCTACCTCCAACACATCGCCTGTCTCCGCCAATACCTCACCCCAAAAGCCGCCGAAACCCTGGTCCATGCCTTTGTCACCTCTCGGTTGGACTATTCAAATGCCCTCCTTGCCGGCCTCCCCTCCATTACCATTCATAAAATCCAGGTCATCCAGAAGGTTTTTAGCCGAGACCTGAAAGTAGGAAGAAAGGGTGCGAGGCGAAGGGAAGTAGGAAGAAAGGGGACCTTCGCCTCGCCCCCTTTTTTCCTACTTTCAGGTCTCGGCTAAAGACCTTTCTTTTCGACTGCGCCTTTGGTCACCTTCTCCCCCCTCCCCCTGGCTCGGCCCCAGGATCCGTTATTGTGAAGCTCTCTGAGACGCCGTCCGGGGTGGAGGGCGCTATATAAATCCAAACTGTTGCTGTTGTTGATTCTGTCAGCGCCTGAGGTGAGGAGGTGGAAGCAGAGAGGTAGAGTTGGGTGTCATCCGCATACATATGGAAGTTGACCCCATGCCTGCGGATGATATCACCAAGAGGGAACATATAGATATTGAAGAGGAGGGAACCAAGGACAGATCCCTGAGGAATGCCACACAAGATGGTGCGGGGGCTGGAGGAGAAACCGTTTGAGGAGATGAAGTGCAGGCAGTGTGAAAGATTTGATCTGAACCAACCAAGGACAGAGCCGTGAAGCTTGAGGTGAGAGGAGAGGCGGTGGATGAAGATAGAGTGGTCGACGATGTCGAAAGCAGCAGAGAGGTCAAGGAGGACGAGGAGGCAGAGGGAGCCCTGGTCGCAGATGGACAGAATGTCATTTGTCACTTTGACCAGAGCTGTTTCTGTGTTGTGGGCGGCACGGAAACCCGATTGGAGGGGTTTGAGAAGGGAGTGGCGGGAGAGGAAGGAGCGAAGCTGAGAAGCAACAACTCGTTCCAGGAGAGGAAGGGAAGGTTGGAGATGGAGCGGTAGTTAGGGAATAGAGAATGATCCAGGGAGGGTTTTTTAAGGATAGGAGTGATGATGGCGGTTTTTAATGGGGTGGGAACAGTACCAGAGGACAGGGAGAGGTTTACGATGTCAGTGAGTAGTAGGGCAAAGAGATGGAGCTGGGAGGTAAGGAGGGGCGGTAGGGATGGGGTTGAGGGAGCAGGTGGTAGGTTTCATACGGGTTAAGGTGGTGATGAGAGAGGAGGAGACATGTTCAAAGATGTGGAGGGAGGGATGGGTAGGGGCCGGGGTGACAGGTGGAGATGGGGAGGGTGTAGCAGATGCAGTGGCAGAGGCAACTGAGTGGATTCCCTCAACTTTGGATTCGAGGAAGTCCAGCATCGCCTCGCCGTTGACATTGGAGGTGAAGATGGGTGGGGTGTGAGAGGGTGGGCGGAGAGCCGGTTCCTGATGGAGAAGAGGAGCCTGGGGTTGTCCTTAGCCTCCAAGGTTGTCTTGGAGAAGAACGATGATTTAGCGGAGGCGAGGGTGGAGCGGTAGGATTTGACATGGTCCAGCCAGATCTGCCGATGGACAGTTAGGTTTGATTTAAGCCAAGTGCGCTCAGCATAACACGCCTGGGCTTTAAGGGAGCGGAGGTGGCTGGTGACACAGACACACGCGAGCAGTACTGCACAGGCAAGAGCCAAGGGCTACCCGGGTGTACTGCTCACAGCAGCTGATACTGAGATACAAGCCCTCTAAATGGAGCTGCCTGTCTTGGCCTTTTTTTTGTGGTTTGGTGGAGCCTTTTATATTTATCTGGCCCCCACATCCAGGCTCGACAACGCTAACTTCTTGCTTTTCGGCCTTCCAAACCCTTCAGCCTCTCTGTTCCCACCCTTTGGAACTCCATCCCCTCCACCTGGCTCCCTCCCTCGCCTTCATCAAGGGCTGTCTCAAGACCCTCCTCTTTGACCTCGCCTTCGGTCACTCTCCTACCTCTAGCCTCCCCTGGCCTCCTCCACTCCAGATCCCGATCCCCAGCTCGGGTCCAAATTCCTGACTGTCCAGTGCCTTGGGAGGTCCTCCTGACGTGAAAGGTGCTGTGCAAATGTAACGGTTATTGTTGGACTGGGCTTGTGGAATTGCCAGTAAGCATGAGTTGATGTTGTGATTGACAGCCGAGCCAGTGAAGCAGTGAACTGCCTGAAGCGCTTCCACGAGATGAAGAAGCGGGGCCCCAAACCCTACAGCCTGTACCTGGACCTCATTGTGCACAAAGCCAGCGCCCTGCACCACAGGCGAGACAATCACCTGCGCTTCCAGAGAGACATCTTCATCCTAAAGGTACGAGAGAGACTGATCACAAGGGCTTCATTACATACCGGCCTGACGCATACCAACGTAAGAACTTGCTCGGTGAAAGAGGACCAGGGTTATCCAGCTCGCCTTCCGCCATCGTGGCAGTCACTTGACCTGTCGTGTCCCAAACTATATACTGTATCCCCAGATATTATTTCCTAACAGAAATCTATCAAATTTGTTCTTGAAACAACACTTTCTGCTTCCACCGTCTCCCTAGGGTGTCTGTTCCAAACGTTTACTGCTCCCGCACTGAAGTAGTGTCTCCTCCACATGTTCCTCCCCAGCAGCATGTACATGGAGGGACCCTGCCTTAGCTCAGTGTGGGCAGAAGCATGCACAAGGGGCTCAGGGGAGTACGGCAGCCAGGTTTATCCAAGTTACAAGAAAAGACTTCTTGGTCTGTGACCCCCCCACTACCTGCCCTCCCCCATCCACACAATCAATAATAATAGCTCAGTGGTTAGAGCACTTGCCTGGGTTTGAATTACTCTACACACCTCTGTTTACTTAGAAGTAAGTAGGAACCCGGTTGTTAGTCGATTGTTGGATCGCTTTTCCGGGGGTAATGATCTCTTCAATTAAATAAATTAATTAATAATGTGGTCACTCAATCCATAACTCTTTGTGGGACACTGCTGTGGGCAATTGGCTGCCGCGTTTCACCCACAAAATATACAGTCACTACACTTGACAGTATATTCTTGAAAGCACTGAGATGTCTCGAAGTGTGATAAGGCGGTATATCAAATGCAAGGATTATTATTATTATGTGGGCACCTGTGTACACAATATAGGGAGACTTGTTGTATGTTCAGTCTGACTCCCCTCGGCCCCTCATCACACTGTTTTCTTGCAGGACACAGAGGAGGCGATAATGCAGAACCTGCGCGACAGTGACGTGCTGAATAACAAGGACAATCTGCGTTGGAACTGGAACTTAATATCTACCATCCTCAAGGTGAGCAGTGACCGCTAATCACCACTGCATCATGGCCTCAAGGCTGATTTTAGCTGCTTAAGGTTAGACATGTTTTGTGAGTGATAGATATCTTAACTCCACATCTAACCCATAATTGCTTGACGTTGAGGCCAATTGCATGGGTTGGACATGAAGCAAAACTGCTTCTACACTTTTCCATCCCAGGTCAACAATAGCATGTGTTAGGTACACAGTAAAACTCCTTCTTCACTGTCTACACAGAAGCAGGGAACCCTGACTGATTTTGCCCTGTTGTAAGTGGAGTCCTGTAGTGTTGTGTTTAGAGCACTTGCTTCGCGAGCGAGAGGACCTGGGTTCGATTCCCGGGCAGGGCGAAACGTTGGCCAAGTTTCCTTACTCTACATGCCTCCGTTTTTCTAGCAGTAAGTAGGAACCCAGTTGTTAGTCGGTTGACAGATCGCTTTTTCGGGGTAACAGTTCCTTCCAAAAAAAATAAAGAATAATTTGGTCACTCAATCCACAACTGTTCATGGGATGCTGCTGTGTGCAATTGGCTGCCGTGTTTCGCCCACAAAGTATACAGTAAATTCACTTTACAGTATATTCTGTGAAGCACTTTGAGAAGTCTCGAAGACGTGATAAGGCGTTGTATCAAATGCCAGGATTATTATTATAGATTGGTTAGATATGGAGTAAAACTGCTTCTACACCTTTCCATCCCGGGTTAACAACAGTACGTGTTGGGTATACAGTAAAACTGCTTCACTGCCCACCCAGAAGCAGAGAACCTTGGCTGATTTTGCTCTGCTGTAACTGAGCTGAGTCTTATTAGTACTGATGTTAACAAGACCTGTGTGTGTCCTCTTGCAGTGGCCCAATGTCAACTTGAGGAATTACAAAGATGAACAGTTACACAGGTGAGTAATGGCTAGGGCGAGCGATGCTGTTTGGAGGGTGGAGAAGCCGTGTACCCTCTGTCTGTGTGTTTGTTAATATTGTTCGGCATATGTGCTCGTACGTGTTGTAGCAGGTATCGTCTGTAAGCTAAGGTTTGTGTGTGTTTGTGGAGGGCTCACCAGATACTATGTGTACCTGTGTGTGTTTATGTATACATTTGTCTGTCTGTGTTTCCATGTGTCTGTGTGCATGTGTTTTTATTTGTTGTGTTTGACTGTGTTTCTATGTGTGTTTGAAAAGGTGCATGTGTTTTTGTGCGTGCATGTGTTTCTTTGTGTTTGTGTGTATGCTTGTGTTTCTGTGCAATCTCCCTCAATCCCTCCGCCTTGCCCATCTTCAGGTGGCGGAAAACTTTCTGCATTGACCATGCTTACGATCCCACCCCCTCCCTCACCCCGACTCAGAGTCAGGCTGCGCCACTGTCAAGCGCTGCGGGGTGCTACCCTAAGTGAAGGGCGCCGTATAAGTGCAAGTTGTTGTTGTTGTCTGATGTTTCTGTGTGTTCCTGAGCAGCCAGTTCTCTGGTGTTTCTGAAAGCTGCTGTGTGTGTATGTGTAGTGTTGTTGAGAGCTGTTCTGTGTGTGTGTACTGCTGAAAGCTGCTGATGTGTGTATTTGTATGTGTGGTGTTGCTGGGAGCTGCTTGTGTCTGTGTGTGTGCGTGTGTGTGGTGTTGCTGAGAGCTGGTGTGTGTGTCTGTGTAGTGTTGCTGAGAGCTGCTGTGTGTGTGTGTGGTGCTGCTGAGACCTGGTGTGTGTGTGGTGTTGCTGAGAGCTGCTGTTCTCTCTATGCAGGTTTGTGCGTCGCCTGCTGTACTTCTACAAGCCGAGCAGCAAGCTGTATGCTAACATGGAGCTGGAGCACGCCATGGGCAAGCAGCTGACGGTCGTGGGTTGCCAATTCACCGAGTTCCTGCTGGAGTCTGACGAGGTGAGCAGCTCCCTACTCCCTCAGCACAGTCCAGTGTGGCTTTCACAAAGACAGTAAACAGGCATATGAAAGAGAAATGTGGGGAGAAGGCAGCAGATGGGATAGAAACATAGGAACAGGAGTAGGCCATTCAGCCGCTCAAGCCTGTTCCGCCATTCTATTAGATCATGGCTGCTCTGTACCTCACTTCCATTTACTCACCTTTGCCCCATATACTGTGTGTGGGACACTCTGGACTTCTCCGGAGCCCTGTAGCTTAGTGATTAGAGCACTTGCCTCACAACTGAGAGGACCTGGGGTTCAATTACCGGACAAGGCGAAACCTTATGCAAGTGTTCTTACTCGACGTGTCTCTGTTTCCCCAGGAGCAAGTGGGAACCCAGTTGTTAGTTGATTGACGGATCACTTTTCCGGGGGTAATAACCCCTCCTAAAAAAAAATCTGGTCACTCAATCCGTGACTGTTTGTGGGACACTGCTTTGCACAGTTGGCTACCGCATTTCGCATACAGTCAATTCACTTTACAGTATGTTCTGTGAAGTACTTTGAGATGTCTCAACAACATGATAAGGCGCTATATCGAATGCAAGGTTTGTTATTATTATGTGTTCTCTCCTCTCGTGGGTCAGGATGGACAGATGTACCTGGAGGAGCTGGTGAAGGACATTGTGCAGTGGCTGGCCTCCTCCTCAGGCCTGAAGCCTAACCGAAGCCTGCAGAACAACGGGCTGCTCAACACTCTTAGCCAGCACTACTTCCTGCTGATCGGCACCCTCTCCTCACACCCACATGGAGTCAAGATGCTGGAGAAATGTAACATGTTCCAGTGGTGAGTAACCGCATCTGAGCCCTGGCCACCCACCTGCACCGAGAGGGTCAGAGGCCAGGAAATTCTACCTCGTCTTAGCCTGACCACGCATTCAGCCACTACTCCCCGAGACTCTGAAACACTTTCCCTCTATCCCTCCACCTTGCCCCTTCCTTCTCCATCTTCAGATCGCGCCTGAAGATCTTCCTCTTCGACCGTACCAACGGTCACCTCCCCCCAGCTCGGCATCATGCTCTGCTGCTGTAAAGCGCTCTGGGACGCCACCCTGTGTGAGGAGCTCTATATAAATGCAAGTTGTTGTTGAGGCCATATCGGAGTCCTGTAGCGTAGTGGTTAGAGCACTCAGCTCCCAAGTAAGAGGACCTGGGTTTGATTGTCGAGCACTGTTGTGCGCTATTGGCTGCCGAGTAGCGCCCACAAAATATACAGTTACTACACTTTACAGAATATTCTGTGAAGCATTTTGAGATGTCTCGAAGACGTGATAAAGCGCTATATCAAATGCGAGGATATGTTATTATTTTTGCCTCAAAATACAAAGATTATTAATTGTGGAAAATTCTTCAATTCAGTCAATTCAGAGTCTGGGATCACCACAATCCTTAAACAAAAAAACAGCTTCTGAATTGAGCAAACTTAAACATTTAAAGTTCTGTAGTTTAGTGGTTAGAGCACTCGCCTCGCAAGTGAGAGGACCCAGGACAAGTGGGGTGAATGGCCTGACTTTGCCCCTCTCTCTACAGTCTGCTCAGCCTCTGTTCCCTGAAGAACTATGACCACCTGCTGAAGCTGACGGTCTCCACACTAGACTACAGCCGTGACGGGCTGGCCAGAGTCATCCTCTCCAAGACCCTCACCGCAGCCACTGACGTAAGTGCTCCTGGGACTCGCAAGTCACATGCTCAGGTGTATTGCCCGCCGGCAAGCTCACAGGGAGTTCCTGGTACCTAACATTCCCCTAGTGAGAAAAACCTGCGCTTGTCTGATGTCAAACAACATCCCCTTGTGGGGGAGGGGGTTAGCGGAGTCTTCTTGGAGCTGAACTGGCCCCAAGGTGAGTTGTTTGGCAACGGAATGTCGGAATTGAGCAAACCCTCTCTGCCGGTCTCTAGTCTGGATCGTGAGCCAGGAGGGCCGCAGTATCCCAGGGCACTCACTGCTGATGACAGCCCAGCCCAGCCTGGCTCGTCGGCAGGACCTGGAAGGGCAGAGAAGTCACTGGGGGCAGGAAATCCTCCCATTCAGCTCCTGTTAACCCTACAGCCAAAGCCCTAACAGGTAGGGCAGTCCTAGCAGGACAAGCATCGGGAAAGCTTTCCAGGCAGTGGCCAAGTTGTGTGATTAGACTCTAGCAGTTACCCCAACACACACTCTGGGCTCCCCCCAGGCCTTGGCTCTCGCCAACCTGCGCCTAATACTGCCCGGAATTAGGGAATGCAGGGAGAGAGAGAGCGCATTCCATTCCAATCTATCTCTGGATTTCCATATGTAGATGGGATACGTACGTTACATATGTAGATGGGATACGTTCCATATGTACATGGAATTCTCACTTTTGTTTGGAAACTCTCAAGCATAGTGATGGGTTTCCGCGAGTGTCAGACACCCGGCTGGGCAACAAAAGGGGGGGGAAAAGGCAGCCTTCAGCCTGGCACAATGGCAGAATGTCCTGACCAGATGCTGAACTTTTCCCTTGAACTCTGGGCCTCTCAGCTGCTATCACTGCGACTGCTTTTTCTGTGCTATTCTGTGAGCACTACCAGGGAGGGCCACAATAGGTATTGGCGAGGTGCTGTCGCTCGGCCCCATGTGGTCTAACTACTGGTTTGTGTGTAGAACTGCAGGCTATATGCGACCAAACACTTGCGGGTTTTACTGCGAGCCAATGTGGAGTTCTTCAGCAACTGGGGGATCGAGCTCCTCGTCACCCAACTGCACGATAAGAACAAGAGCATCTCCTCAGAGGCCCTGGACATCCTCGACGAGGCTTGTGAGGACAAGGTGAGCAGCCATCAGGGGGGAAGGCTATCTCTCTATCTCTATCTGTCTATCTCTGTCTCTCTCTCTGTCTCTATCTCACTCTGTCTCTCTCTGTCTCTAACTCCTGTTCTCTGACTCTATCTCTCGCTGTCTCTATCTCTCGCTGTCTCCTGCTCTCCCTCTCTCTCTGTCTGAATCTCCCTCTCTCTATCTTCTGCTCTCTCTCTCTGTCTCTCTCTATATGTTTCTCTGTCTCCTGCTCTCTCTGTCTTTATCTCTCTGTCTCTAGTTCTCGCTGTCTCTGTCTCTCTGTCACCTGCTTTCTCCCTGTCTCTTATCTATGTGTCTCTATCTCTTATGTCTCTCCGTGTTTATAATTATCTATTATCTATAATTATAGATAATTATTTGGGGAGGACAAGTTTGCAGGGCTATGGGGAGAGAGCAGGGGAGTGGGGTTGATGTGGAAGCTCTTTTCAAAGAGCCGACACAGTCACGATGGGCCGAATGGCCTCCTTCTGTGCTGTATAATTCTATGGTTCTATGGTTTCTCTCCTGCTTTCTCTGTCTCCCATTCTTTGTCTGTCTCTCCTCTCTTGATTTCTGTCTGGCTTCTTTCTTTTTCTAGTGCTCTCTCTGTCGTTCCTACAGTGTGTGATAGTAAAGGCTTGCTGTGTGTGGTTTGCTATTGCAGGCTAATCTTCATGCACTGATCCAGATGAAGCCAGCTGTGTCCCACCTGGGAGACAAGGGCTTGCTGCTGCTGCTCCGGTGAGTATAACCCAGGGACCCTGCTCTAGCTGGCTGTCAGCCAGACCGGGTTGGCAGTTCACTAACACTCAGCACCACACACAGGGCGGGTGGGGAGACAATTAGTACCTTTCTCGCTACCAAAATAGACACACAAAAAAAATCACCCACAACATACACTGTTAGCCCTACAGGAGTCCTCAGTTTAGTGGTAAGAGCACTCACCTCGCAAGTGAGAGAACCCGGGTTTGATTCTCGGTCAGGGTGAACAGTTGGGCAAGTTCCTTACTCCACAAGCCTCTGTTTACCTAGCAGTAAGTTGGTTGTTAGTCAATTGGAGGAACGCTTTCCGGGCATAAAAATCCTTTCAAAAAAATAATAATAACGCGGTCACTCAATCCACGACAGTTTGTGGGACGCTGCTGTGCACAATTAGCTGCCACATTTCACCCCAAAAATACACAATCAATTCACTTTACAATATATTATGTGAAGCGCTGTGAGACCTCTCGAAGATGTGATAAGGTGCTATATTAGATGCAAAGATTATTATTATCAAACAATCAGGCCCTTTTCACTGGAACAGTGAAGGTTAAGGGGATCCAATGGACGTCTTCCAAACTCTAAACTATTCTGAGAGAATAAATAGTGACAGATTATTCCCACTGGTTGGTAAATTGGCAACAAGGGCAGAGATCTCACTGTCTATGCTGATGCTCATACAGTGCTGGGGGAGCGCTATGAAGCAGGAGGTGCCATCTGTCAGGTGAGATGGTAAACTGAGCTCCCGTCTGTGCCTGTTCATTTGGACGTTAAAGAATTTGCAGCTGTTGGAAAAGAGAATGTAGTTTTTCTGCCAGTGTCCTGACTGACAATCCCCCAGATAAACTCACTTGTTCACCTCATGGCTGTTTGGGGACAAATTTCTGTACCACTTGTCTGCCACCTTCACCTACAAACACAGTCAATACACTTTACAGTAAATCGTGTGAAGCACTTTTAGATGCTTTGACAAGGTGATAAGGTGCAATATCAAATGCAAGGATAATTATTATAATAACTGGAACAATACAAGAGAGAGGTTAGAACTAACTTTTCCTTATTATTGGAGCATAGCTTGCGTAGCCTCAAGTGACTGGTCAAGCTAAAGGGGGTTGAATAAGAATTTTAAGCGGAAGAAATAAAAGGTCCATTGAGAGCTAGCACCAGCGCAGAACAGGTTAGAGTTGAGAGAGAGCTCCAGTGGGGGAGCGAGTAACAGCTTGGATGCAATAAGCCGAATGGCATCATCTTCCTTTCTGTGAATCAAGAGTATTTCTCTTTTATGAGCTGGCATTATTGCACTACAGTGTAACTGGCTCAGAGCTAATGTTTACAACAGGTCAAAACTCTGGAAAACTCTTCCTCTATCCCTCCGCCTTGCCCCTTCCTTCCCCACTTTCAGATCACGCCTGAAGACCTTCCTCTTCAACCGTGCCTACGGTCACCTCCCCTTCCATCCGGCTCGGCATCATGCTCCGTCATTGTGAAGCGCTCTGGAATGCTACCTTGCATGAGGGGCACTGTGTAAATGCAAGTTGTTGCTGTGGCTAAGGTGCTAAATCCTGCCTTCTCTTTACAGATTTCTGTCCATTCCAAAGGGCTTTTCCTACCTCAACGAGAGAGGCTATGTGACCAAGCAGCTGGAAAAATGGCAAAAGGTCAGTGTCTTCATTACATAGCATTGAGACGTGCCCAGGGAGAGGCAAGCTAGCGAGAGGATCTGAGTTCAGTTCCAGGCAGGCTAAACTTTGGGCAAGTTTCCTTATTTCACACTCCTCTGTTTACAGAGCAGTATGTAGGAATCTGGTTGTTAAGTTGATTGGTGGATCACTTTTCTGGGGGTAATAATCTCTTCAAAAAAAATAATTAATTTAAAAAATAACAATTTGGTCACTCAATCCACGATTGTCTGTGGGACACTGCTGGAGCAATTGGCTGCCGCATTTTGCCCCAAATATACAGTCAATTCACTTTACAGTATATTCTTGAAACGCTTTGAGACATCTTGACTACGTGATAAGGTGCTGCATCAAATGCAAGGATTATTATTACAGTACAGTCAGGTAAAGAAGGGCTGTGTTTGACTGGATTTGTTCTCCCACACGGGGCGCAGTTTAACGGTCTTGTCGCCTGTTCTCAGGAGTACAACTTGAAATATGTGGACCTGATCGAAGAACAGCTGAACGAGGCTCTCACCACATACCGCAAGCCAGCTGACGGGGAGAACTATGTGAGGCGCAGTAACCAGAGGTGTGGGGGTGTTCTGTTCACTCTACACAGCACAGCACTCAGAGCAGTGCCTTTACTCTTTTTAGACTCACAAAAGTAAAGTAAGACTTGAGCTCACAGTCCAAGATGACAACAACCACAAAATTACATTTGTATAGCGCCTCTCATGTCGGGAGGACCTCCCAAGGTGCTGGGCCGAAGCTGGGGGTCGGAATTGGGAGGGTAGAGAGCGGAGGGGGGAAGAGGGTGATCGAAAGCACGGTCGAAGAGAAGGGTCTTGAGATGGGTCTTGAAGGAGGCAAGGGAGAGGCTGAGGCGGAGGGTCTGCGGGGATCTTTAACGTGTAGTGTCACCCTATGGATGGAGTTCCATAGGGTGACACTACACGTTAAAGATCCCCGCGACACTGTTAGAAAAGGGAAGGGAGTTTCTTTCCCAGGGTCCTGGTCGACAATCCTCCGGATAAGGTAGTCATTCATTTCATGGCTGTGCGCGTGGGACCTTGCCCTACACAAAATAGCCGTTGTGTTTGACTACATATAGACAGACAGACAGTCACTACACTTGCCAGCACTGCTCTGTGAAGCCGATTGTCTGCTATCAAATTCTGGGTGAGCCATAATGTTCTACAGCGAATTGTCAATGAGACCAAGTGTCTCCTGCCTCATCACCACCTTCTCACCTCAGGCTCTGACCACATCGACCTGCATGGAGCTCCATTGTGGAGATCCTCCTCTGCTCTCTCTCCTCCTCCTAGGCTGAGGCTCCCTGACGGCTCTGTGAGGTTCTTCGAGACTTCCTCCTGGCGTGAAAGTGCTGTATAATGTAGATTGTGTTGTGGAGCAGTGAAGCACTTTGGGACTATGCACTGTGAGGATTATTGTTGTGTAATTTACCTTGTTGCTGTGACTTCTCTCCCCCCTCTCTAGGTTACAGAGGCCCTATGTTTACTTACCTGTTCACCTCTATGGCCAACTAGTCCATCACAAGACCGGCTGTAATTTACTGGAGGCCCAGGTGAGGGCACTGCTCTACTCTTCTGTTATAGTCATCCTGTCTCATCAATTCTCTCACTTCACTCCATACGCATGGCTTTCTGACGCTGTGTGTTCCAAAATCTTACCACTGTGTGAGAAGAAATTATTTATTACCTCAGCCTGACCTGTTTTACTCTCATTTTGGTGAAAAGCGCTCCAAGATGCCTTCCGGCGTGAAGGGTGCTCTCTCTCTCTCTATATATATATATAGATAAAAGTTGTTGTTGTCCTGTAGAGTAATGATTAGCGAGCTCGCTTCGCAAGCGAGAGGACCTGGGATCGATTCTCGGGCAGAGTAAAACCATAGGCAAGTTTGCTTACTCCACATGCCTCTGTTTACCTAGCAGTAAGTAGGAACCCGCTTGTTAGTAGATTAGCGGATCGTTCTCCGGTGATAATAATCCCTTCAAATTCTTTTTGAAAACTAATAATAATTTGGTCACTCAACCCACAACTGTTTGTGGGACACTGCTGTGCGGAATTGGCTGCAATGTTTCGCCCACAAAACACACAGCCAATCCACTTTGCAATATATTCTGTGAAGCGCTTTGAGACATCTTGATGACATGATAAGGGGTAATATCAAATGCAAGGATTATTATTAATTTTGAGATAATTTCTCTGTGTTAGTCCATGGTTCTATCTGAATGTGACCAACTTTGCTTCTCCCTCTGCCCTAGAGCATCGTCCCAGACCTGAGTTACAGCGTGCGGTCCCCAAGCCTCGACACATGGGAGGGAGTCAAACATCTGAAGGCAGCGCTCTGGGCTCTGGTAAGGCTCAGGGCAGGACACAGGGATCCTGCCGGCTCTAGTGGGTAACATTACAGCAGTGTACCCTGCCCTCCAGCACCACGCAGTGCAGTGCAACCATCCCTCCTTACAGCACACACCTAACTGTTATGTCAAAACAGGAAATGCAACAGATAATCTCATGAACTGGGAGTCATTTATTGACTTTCGTGGAGTCCTGTAGCTTAGTGGTTATCGTGCTCACCTCACAAGCGAGAGGACCTGGGTTTGATCTCAGGGTGGGGGGAAGTCTTAGGCAAGTTTTCTTATTCCACCGGCCTGTTTACCTAGTAGTAAGTAGGAAGGAACCCAGTTGTTAAGTCGATTGGCGGGTCGCTTTTCTAGAGGTAATAATTACTTTAAAAAAATCTAAAAATTAAAATAAATTGGTCACTTAATCCATGACTGTTTGTGGGAGACTGCTGTGCACAATTGCCTGCCACGTTTCACCCACAAAATATCCAGTCAATTCACTTTACAGTATATCCGGTTAAGCGTGCTGAACATCTGAACTACGTGATAAAGGCGCTATATCAAATGCTAGGATTATTATGATTATTTTTATTAGTATTACACTCCGCACAGGGTAAAGAATTTCTGGTCTCTAAATGTGTTTACAGAATCGTACAGTGTGGAGCATAAAAAGTGTGGGTGGACGTGTGTGTTTGAGTCCCCGTGTGTGGTGCGGTGCGTATGTGTGGAGGGTATTAAATGAGTGTATGAGCAGGCCATGTATAATGTGGTTGTCGTGTGGGTTACAGGGGAACATTGGCTCGTCTAACTGGGGGCTGAACCTGCTGCAGGAGGAGAACGTGGTTCCTGATATGATAGCTCTGGCCCAGCAGTGTGAGATCCTCTCAGTCAGGGGGTAAGTAGCTCTGACAGGTTCTACAGTCATAGAATATTACAGCACAGGAGGAGGCCATTCGGCCCATCGTACCTGTACCGGCTCTTTGGAAGAGCTGCCCAATCAGATCCCAATCCCCTGCTCTTTCCCGATATCCTTGTAGAATTTTCCTTTTCAAGTACCTATATAATTCCCTTTTGGAAGTTGTTATTGAATCTGCTTCCATCACCCTGTCAGTCAGTGCATTCCAGACCGTAACAATACTCTATGTAAAAAAAAAAATGTGTCCGTTTCCCTTCGGGTTCTTTTGTCAATTATCTTGGATCTATGTCACCTGGTTACCAACCCACTTGCCAGAGGAAACAGTTTCTCCCTATCTACTCTATCAAAACCCCTTAGAATTTTGAACACCAGTACTAAATCTCCCCTTAATCTTCTCTGCTCTAAGGAGAACAATCCCAGTTTCTCTATTCTAATCCCAGTTTCTCTAGTCTAGCAAGGCAATAACATGGCATTTCCTCCCCATCACCACCACACACTACACGGACAGACAGCACCAGCCAGAGTCAGTGCTACTGAAAATCCTCACCTTTAACCTGCTCCACACACACAAGTCAACCATTCTCAACTCCAAAAGGCAAAATACTGCTGGGAATCTGAAATAAATACAGAAGTCGCTGGGAACACTCAGCAGGTCAGGCAACATCTATGGAGAGAGGGGAGTGCGTTAACGTTTCAGGTCAACTGTGCACTGTGTATACAATACATAGCAAAGCAGGAGACTGAGGGAACAGAGGAGTCTACAGGAGCAGAAAAGCCCATTGCGATTCTATTACATCTTCAAGTAATGTACCACATTTGAAATAATCCCACACTCTCATCTCATTGTCAACACTCTCCCTACAACACATTACAGTACATGTTTACATTTACACAGCGCCTTTCATGTCACTTCCCAAAGTTCTGGCGTTGGAGGAGGAGGGGAAAGACAGGTGCGGTCAGAGAGTTGCGGTCAGAGAAGTACGTCTTCCGACATTAAACCGACCTCCCATCAGTGCCTGTTCAGAAGGACGTTAATGATCCCACAACACTGTTGGACAAGAGAAGGGAGTTTGTCCTGGTGTTCTAACCAATAATCAGATAAACGGCTGTTGACATGGCTGCTTGTGGAACCTTGCTGTCTGTTCACTGGCTCCCTACCACCAAAAGGATTGATTTCAAGATCCTCACATTTGTTTTCAAATCCCTTCACGCCCTGGCACCTCCTTACCTCGCCGACCTGCTTACTCCCACTACCTGCTGCCTCTGCTCGACTGGCTCCGGCCTCCTGCATGTCCCCTCACTCCCTCTGTTACACCATCGGTGGCTGTGCTTTCAACAATAATAACAACAAAATGATGTGTAAAGCACCTTTCACGTCGGGAGGACATCCCAAGGTGCTGGATAGTCAGTGTTTCAGACCCGAGCTGGTGGTCGGGATTGGGGAGGGTGGAGGGCAGGGGGGGAAGGTGGGTCAAAGAGGAGGGTCCTGAGACAGGTCTTGAAGGAGGCAAGGGACGGGATGAGGCGGAGGGACTGCGGGATGGAGTTCCAGAAGGCCCACCCGCCCGCCAATGGTGGGGAGGGCGAGGCGGGGAACATGAAGCAGGCCAGATCCCACTGAGAGCAAGGTGCGGGCAGGATGGTGGGTTAGGAGATCACAAAGGTAGGGGGGAGCAAGGCTATTGAGGACTTTGAAGGTGAGGACCAGGATCTTGAATCCACCACGCCCCAAAAAGTCTGGAACACTTCCTCTTCCTTCCCCATCTTCAGGTTGCGTATGAAGATCTTCCTCTTCGAACTCCCCCCGGCTTGGCATCATGCTCCACCACCGTGAAGCACTCTGGGAATCTGCCCAGCGTGATGGGCGCTATATCAATGAAAGTTGTTGAAATAACGGTCATTACATTCCCTCCCTCGCCTCCTTCAAGGTACATCTCAAGACTCTCCTCTTCAACCACACTTTGGTCACCCTCCTACCCCCACCCCTCCAGCTCGGTTCCAAATCCCTGACTGTCCAGCACCTTGGGACGTCCTCCCGACGTGAAAGGCACCGTGTAAATGTCATTTGTTGTTGATGTTGACAGTAATTATTGGAAAGTGCTTTGAGAGATTTTTGACATGATGAGTGACCATCCAAATGTAAGTATTTCTCATTCTCTCTCTCTCTCTCTGGCAGGACGTGTGTGTACGTGCTGGGTCTCCTGGCTAAGACTAAGCCGGGCTGTGATGTGCTGAAGCAGCACTCCTGGGACTGCGTGAGGCACAGCCGCAGGCACCCCTGGCCTGTGGCCCCCGATGACATGGAGCAGCTTTACAGTGAGCTGTGCTCAGTGCCCAGCACCCTCAGCCTCAACTCGGAGTGTGCCAGCTCCCGGCACAACAGCGAGAGCGAATGCTTACCCCAGAGTGAGTGCCCCAGAGTCTCCAACCCTCCCTCCCCTCCTCTCCTCTCTCCAACCCTCCCTCCCCTCCACTCCCACTATTCCACCCCAGAAAACCCTCCACACTGTCCCCACTTCAAACTACTTCAGTGAGTGAGTAGTAAATGTGTGGAACTGGCTGCCAAGGGAGATGGTGGAAGCAGAAAGTGTAGTTTGTTTCAAGAACAAATTAGATAGATTTCCTATGGTTTGAACTTCAACAACACTTGTGTGAAACATTGGAGCTCAGTGGTTAGAGCCCTCGCCTCACAAGCGAGAGGACCTGGGTTTGATTCCTGTTCAGGGCAAAATGCTGGGCAAGTTTCCTTACTCATACGCCTCTGTTTACTCAGCAGTAAGTAGGAACCTGATTGTTAGCCAATTGGTGGTTCACTTTCTGGGGGTAATAATCTCTTCAAAACTTTTAAAAATAATAATAATAATTTGGTCACTCAATCCACGACTGTTTATGGGATGCTGCTGTGTGCAATTAGCTGCTGTGTTTCGCTCACAAAACACACAGTCACTACACTTTACGGTTTATTCTGCGAAGTGCTTTGTGAGACATGTTGAAGACATGATAAGGCGCTATATCAAAAATGCAGGGAACTGGATGATAATAATAATAATAATAATGCTGGGCTGGGGTTTGTTTCAGGCATGTTTATTCTGGAGGATGAACGTTATGGGAGCAGCACCACTAGCACCTTCTTCCTGGACATCAGTGAGGAGGGGGACCCTGGGGTCCCAGAGAGACCCAAAGCCCCCAAAGACAAGGACCGCAGTGCTCTGAGCATCCTCAGCTCCTCTCGCTTTGTCACCCGACGTTTCTTCAACAACCTCACCTCTCTGCCCAGCAAGAAGCTGCGGAGTGGGAGTGAGTCCAAGACCGGGAAGGCGGGCGCTGAGCGTAAGCAGCTGCCCCGGCGCGTGCGGACGGTGACCGAGCCGGCCAACAGCACCGACTACCCGCCCGGCGACGTCTTCAACGGCAGCCGCGGGATGCACAAGAGCCACACGCTGAGCCTCGAGACCTCGTTCGTAGGCAGTCGGGAGCCAGGGAGTCGCGGCAGCACGCACAGCATCTCCGAGTCGGACCTGAAGCGACCGCGGGCACTGGTGGGAGACAATCACCGGGAGCGCTCGGCGGGCGACGGCAGCACCCAGTTCAAGAGCCGCAGCCAGAGCTTCAACACGGACACGACAACCAGCGGCATCAGCTCCATGAGCTCAGTCAGCTCCAGCCCGTCAGGGGAGACCGTGCAGGTGGACACCGACTGTGGGAGTCTGAGCACCATCGTCAGTGCCAGGACAGTGAAAAACAGCCTCTCACTCACACCACAAACCAACCACCTGCCCCTCGCCAAGTCCAGCTCAGTCTCTTTGGTGCTACCCGGCTCCTCACACACTCTCCCCCGCCGCGCACAGTCACTCAAAGCCCCTTCCGTGGCTGCCATCAAGAGCCTGACTGACTGCAACTTCAGCTACACCAGCCCGCGGGACGCCTTTGGCTACGCCACCCTCAAGCGGCTCCAGCAGCAGCGCATGCACTCGTCCCTGTCCCACTCCGAGGCTCTGGCCTCACCAGCCAAGGACGTGCTCTTCACTGATACCATCACCATGAAAACAGGCAGCCTGGACTCCAGACTGACCCCCCGCAGGTATATATACACATGTACACACACACCACAGGTACACACGTACACACACACATATACCCCATACACATACCACAGGTACACACAGACATCACAGGTACACACATAAACACGCATACCGCTCACAAACACATACCACAAGTACACATACACACACAACAGATACACACACACACACACCACAGGTACACATATACACACCCACCCCCCCCCCACACACATACACACACCCCATACATACATACCATAGGTACACGCATACATATAGACACACCACACACACACACACAGCACAAGTACACACATACTACATGTACATATATACACATACACACACCACAGGTAAACGTATACACATACACACACTACAGTTACACACGTATACATACACACCCCACTCACATACACACACCACAGGTACACACTTTAGGAAGGATGTCACACTTTAGGAAGGATGTCAAGGCATTGGAGAGGGTGCAAAGGAGATTGACCAGAATGGTACCAGGAATGAGGGACTTCAGTGAGCAGGAGAGGCCGGAGACGCTGGGATTATTCTCCTGGGAGCAGAGAGGGTTAAGAGGAGACTTAATAGACAAGTTTTCAACATTATGAGGGGATTCAATAGGGTGAACAGGAGAGACTATTCCCACTGGCGGTGGGTCGGGAACCCGAGGACACCGATTTAAAATAATTGTTAAAAGAAACAGAGGGGAGGGGAGGAGAAATGTTTTCACACAGTGAGTTGTGGATCTGGAATGCATTGCCTGAAAGGCTGAGGGAACAACAACAACAACAACAAGATTCCATTTATAGAGCGCCTTTCACGTCAGGAGGACGTCCCAAGGCGCTGCACAGTTGGGTCATGACCCGAGCAGGGGGGAAATGGTCAGGGTGAGGGGAGGGAAGGGAGGGAGCGAGGAGGGGGGAAATGGTCAGGGTGAGGGGAGCTGAAGGCTCGGTCAAAGAGAAAGGTTTTGAGACCGGCCTTGAAGGAGGAAAGGGAGGAAGCGGCGAAGGCACTGGGGGATGGAGTTCCAGAGCCTGGGGGCTGAGAGGCTGAAGGCCCGACCACCGATGGTAGGGCGGTTGGGGCGGGGGACGTGGAGCAGACCGGAGCCAGAGGAACGGAGGGTACGGGCAGGTAGGTAGGGGGATAGTAGGTCGGAGAGGTAGGAGGGAGCGAGGCCGTGAATGGCCTTGTAGGTGAGGATGAGGATCTTGAAATCAAAGGGAAGCCGATTCGATAACTTTTTAGAGAGAAGTAGATAATTATTTGGGGAGGACAAGCTTGCAGAGCTATGGGGAGAGAGCGGGGAAGAGCTGGCATAGACACGATGGGCTGAATGGCCTCCTTCTGTGCTGTATAATTCGATGATTTTACATACACACACTATACCCCTCTATTCCTGTTTTGTACACCCTGTATTCCCCTCTCCCACACTCCTCTGTTTCCCTCTCCTACATCCCTCTTTACCCCTCTCCTATACCCCTCTATTCCCCTCTCCCAAACCCTTCTATTCCCCTTTCCCACACCCCTCGTTTCCCTCTCCTACATCCCTCTCTTTCCCCTCTCCTTCACCCCTCTATTCCCTTCTCCCTCATGTCTGCGTCAAATTTCCTATTAAACACATTGATTAATGTTGATGTAAACACAACTCCCGGCAATGAATTCCACTCTCACACCCTCAAGTCTCCGGGACATTGATTTTGTTGTGTGAAGAATTTCCTCCTGAAATCTCTTATCAGATCTATTACTGGATAGCTTATAATTATGCCCCACTGTTTTGGACTCGAGGTTAATAATAATTTGGTCACTCAATCCAAGACTGTTTGTGGGACACTGCAGTGCGCAAGTGGCTGCCGCATTTTCCCCACAAAATATACAGTCAATTCACTTTAAAGTATATTCTATGAAGCGCTTTGAGATGTCTCGAAGACATGATAAAGCACTGTATGAAATGCAAGGATTATTATTATTATAGTTACCTCTTTCCCTCCCCTCCCTCCCAGGTTTATCAAAGCGCTCAGCTTCGCCTCGCTCGATAAGGAGGATTTATTAAGTCCAATTAATCAGACCACGCTGCAGCGATCGTCCTCAGTCCGCTCCATGGTTTCCAACGCCACGTACGGCAGCACGGACGATTACATCGGCCTGGCTCTGCCAACAGACATCAACGAACTCTTCCAGGTAGGAAGCTCTAACTTACTGACATTCTGGGGCATTGGATTTCCCTCTCTGGTGATATGTGATACATCTCTTAGTCTGTTAAATTTCAAGATTCCTCACACTTGTTTTCAAATCCCTTCACACCCTGGCAACGCCCTCCCTCTCCGACCTGATCACGTTGTAACCCACAACCCACTGCCTTTGCTCGACTGGCTCCGGCCTCCTGCTTGGCTCTCATACCCTCCGTTCCACTATCGATGGCTGCACTTTCAGTCACTACGCCCCAAAACGCTGGAACACTCTCCCTCTATCCCTCTGCCTTGCCCCTTCCTTCCCCATCTTCAGATCTCCACTGAAGACCTTCTTCTTCGTCCGTGCCTACGGTCACCTCCCCCTCCCCACGACTTGATGTCGTGCTCCTCCACTGTCATACTCTGGGACACCGCCTTGCATGAGGGGTGCTGTGTAAATGCAAGTTGTCGTTGATGCTCATTGACTGGCCCTCGATGGCAGCTCTAGGAACTGTCTGACCAGAGACACAGGATGCTGGTGTGTAATAACTGCGCTCATACTTACGCATCTCCAGGCCCACCAACACAGGAGGATAGGGGTTGAAGGGCAGGTAAATGGTAGCCAGCACAGACAGAAGGGCTGAATGGCCTTCTTCTGTGCTGTAAATTTCTATGGTTCTAACACAGTTATATCTTTTCATTGATGGACAACCCATAATGTTGATACATCTCAAACTGCTTCTCAAATGAATTCCTGTAGTTTAGTGGTTAGAGCCCTCGCCTCACAAACGAGGACCAGGTTTCAATTCCCGGGCAGGGCAAAATGTTGGGCAAGTTTCCTTACTCCATGTGCCTCTGTTTACCTGGCAGTAAGTAGGAACATAGTTGTTAGTTGATTTTCCAGGGGTAATAATCCCTTCAAAAATAAATACGTGTGTATAAAGTAATGATAATGTGGTCACAATCCACAACTGTTTGTGGACGCTGCTGTGCTCAATTGGCTGCCGGGATTCGCCCACAAAATATACAGTCAATTCACTTCACAGTATATGCTGTGAAGCGCTTTGAGACGTCTCGAAGACATGATAAGGCGATACATCAAATGCGATGATTATTATTATTATATAACGGGAGGCTACGCTGGGTGAGGGGCACTATGTAAATGTTGTTGTTGTTATAAAGTACTGAGCCTGTGGCTAACAATGGATTAACATGGCCGCTCTCCCCCTCACTCGCCAGGTCAAGGAGACCCCGTATTTCCAGCAGAAGTGCAGCCCCCCGGATGACGAGCTGTTCTTCCGAGTCCACACACCGGTCACAGAAGGTAAATGGCAGTTGTTCTCGGCGGCACTCACACTTCCCTGGCTCAGCCACACCTGGGGCTCACATCCCTCCAACATGCTCAGTCCTCAGCAGCCAGCTAGAGACGGAGCGAGTGCACCAGTCTCCCAGACCAGACCAGGCCAGCGACTGTGTCACAGCTCCCAGTGTGAATATATATGTAAAGAAATATGCTGTAGAAACCACTAAAACATCAGGTCGAATTATTGCAAGCACTCGTTTAACTCGATGTTTAAACTCAAGTTAAGATGATATTTCCCAAACCAGCATTGAAATATTAGGATCAACTGGTTAGATTTCAAAAGGGAATTAATAATAATCCTTGCATTTGGTATTGAGCCTCATCACATCTTCGAGACATCTCAAAGCGCTTCAAAGCAAATTGGGTAGATATTAAAAAGGAAAAATGTGCAGGGATATGGGGTGAGAGCAGGGGAGTAGGACTAGTTGGCAGCTCTTTCAAAGAGCCGACACAGGCACAATGAGCCGAATAGTCTCCTGTTGTGCTGTAAGATTCTGTGATTCTATGATAATGCCATGGGTTGCTCCTATTGCAGGCCCCACCTCGTGCCCCGGCTCCCGGAGTCCCTACCAGGAGCTGAGGCCACAGATCAGCTTCACGGAGGCCATGCTGAAAGCTGCGGAGGGTGTCCCGTCCTCCGATCCTGCAGAGGACACCGGGCTGCAGGAGCACACGGAGGCCGGCTGCCTGTACTGTGCCTGTCTCCACGTCCTGGGCTGTCACAGCAGTCAGTGCAGCCTGAGCCGTGCAGGTGTGTGCCAGCAACATCAACAATACATTACACATACACATGTCGGGAGGACATCCCAAGGCGCCGGACATTGAGGGATTTGCACCCAAGCTGGGGGTCGACATCAGGAGGGGTGGAGGGTGGGGATAGGAGAGTGACTGAAGACATGGTTGAAAAGGAGGGTCTTGAGACAGGCCTTACATAGGAACAGGAGGAGTCTATTCAGCCCCTCAAGTCTATTCCGCCATTCTGTAAGATCATGGCTGATCTGTACCTCAACTCCAATTACCCACCTTTGCTCCATATCCCCTGATTCCCTGACCTGACAAACATCTCTCCACCTCAGTCTGGACAATGTGAATGGATCCAGCAAAATTTGCAAGGGAGGGAGTGAGGCGAAGGATCTATGGGATGGAGTTCCAGAGAGTGGGGGCAGGGAGGCTGAAGGCCTGACCACCGATGGGCCGGGAGCTCGGCCTTCAGCATTCCTAGTTAGATAGATGGATAGATGGATAGATAGATAGATAATTTTTATAATGCCTCATCACATTGCAACCGCTCAGCTTTACTGTCAAATATAGTGACTGTAGGCAAGGTAGTGTTTTATTATAGCAGGATCCAACCATAGCCAAGAGGTAAATGAGCAAATTATCTGGATTTTCAGCCAGAAAACAGGAGAAACTCCCTTGTCTTTTCCCAATAACAACATTGTCAACGTCCACTTCAGTTTAATGGGACTGTGCCTCTGAAAATGCAGCGTTGCCCATGGGGCTCAAACTCATACCCTTCTGGCAAAGAGTGAGAGCGCAAGCGGGACCCAGAACCTTTCTAACCACCACAAACGTGTTGCAGATTTTCCTGACATTCCATACTCTGACTGCTGTGTCCCCGCGATCCCCATCCACACACACCTGGAGGTCACACCTCGATCCAAGATCTCCGGCATCTCAGGCTGCAGCGACTCCGTGTCCCAGGGCTCAGCCAACAGCGTCAAGAGCCTGGACATCGTCATCGGTCAGTGTGACCTCCAATTACAGCGAGCACCAGCACAGACATGATGGGGAGAGAGCAGGGAATGGGGTTAGAGTAGAGAGCTCCAGTGGGGGAGTGAGCACCAGCACAGACACCATGGGGAGAGAGCAGGGAATGTGGTTAGAGTAGAGAGTTCCAGTGGGGGAGCGAACACCAGCACAGACACGATGGGGAGAGAGCAGGGAATGGGGTTAGAGTAGAGAGTTCCAGTGGGGGAGCGAGCACCAGCACAGACACGATGGGGAGAGAGCAGGGAATGGGGTTAAGAGTAGAGAGTTCCAGTGGGGGAGCGAACACCAGCACAGACACGATGGGGAGAGAGCAGGGAATGGGGTTAGAGTAGAGAGCTCCAGTGGGGGAGCGAGCACCAGCACAGACACGATGGGGGGAGAAAGAGAAAGAGAGAGAGCAAGGAATGGGGTTAGAGTAGAGAGAGAGCTCCAGTGGGTGAGCGAGCCCCAGCACTGACCCTGTGCTGTGTGTGTTGCAGGAGTGAAGCCGGTGATGGAGGACACCCCTGCCTGCCGTGTGCTGCTGAGGAAGGAGGTGCTGAGGCTGGTCATCAACCTGAGCAGCTCAGTGGGCACGAAAGGCCATGAGACCGGCCTCCTGACGTGAGCTCTCTCCTCTCCCAGGTTTTGTGTGTGTGGGGGGGAGGGTGTGTGCTTTATATCACTCTCTCTGGAACCTTGGTAGATGGGGTCGGGGTTTTGGGTGAAGACAACAATTGACATTTACACAGCACTTTTCACATCGGGAGAACGTCCCAAGTCAGGGATTTGGACCTGAGCTGGGGGTTGGGATCCAGAGGGTGGAGGGTGGGAGAGGGCAGGGAGGGTGAGAGAGTGGCTGAAGGTACAGTCAAGAGGAGGGTCTTGAGTCAGGCCTTGAAGGAGGCAAGGTAGGGAACGAGGTGAAGGGAGTGTGGGATGGAGCTCCAGAGCGTGGGGGCAGGGTGGGCCGGGCTGGAGCCTGCTGAATGGAGGGAGTGGACAGGTTGATATGACCTGTTGTTCCCTCTCTGGTTCCCTCCTGCCTGCATCAGACTTTGGGTAATACTAACCTCACATTGCAGCCACAGCAATGAAATAATGCAATGTTTCTTAGCACTTTCATAGGCAGTTGCTGTTAAGTACATGAAACACAGCAACTACACAGTAACGTCCCACCAACAGGCATGAATAGAATGATATTTATCTGGAGGATTGTCAGCCAGGACACAGGGACGGAGAGAGAAACTCCCTTCTCTTTTCCCAAAAGTCTCACAGGATCTTTAACGTCAACCTGAACAGGGTAGACGTGACTTGGTTTAACGTCTCACTTGAAGGACGTCGTCTCTGACAATGCATCTCTCTCTCTCGCTCTCTCTTTCCCCGGCGCTGCGCTGGAGTGTCAGCCTGGACTGTGAGCTCAGAGACCCCGACATGTGGGGCTCAAACCTGCAATCTTCTACAGCTGTCGACGTCCAACTAAGCCAGGCTGACACAACACAACATCTAATTGGGGCTCCATGGTGCAGTTTCACACTTTGAAACCCATCGGTTTCACGGATGTCTTAATGCAGCTTGTGCCCTGACCCAAAGTGTGATGTGCTGACTGTACCCTAGGAAATTGGTTGCTTTTTCCCCCTCACAATCCGGGACAAAATAAATTTTCTCTTAGAAAAATATGGGTTAATAAAGGACAGGCAACACGGGTTTGTTAAAGGCAAATCATGTCTAACAAACCTGATAGTTTTTTGATGCAGTAATGGAAAGGGCGGATGAAGGGAGAGCAGCTGATGTCGTTTATATGGATTTCAAAAGGTTTTTGATAAACTGATAAGAGACTTGTAAACAGAATCGAAGCCCCGGTATTAAAGGGACAGTGGCAGCAGATACAGAACTGGGAGACAGAGAGCAGAGAGTGTGGGGAACGGTTGTTTCTCTGACTGGAGGGAAGTGTGCAGTGGTGTCCCCCGGGGGCCAGTATTGGGGCCACTGCTGTTTGTGATCTATATAAATGACCTGGGCTTGGGGAGAGGGAGGACAATTCCCACGTTTGCAGATGATACTGAGCTGGGAAAGTAGTAACCAGTGAGGAGGACAGTCGCAGCCTGTAAATGGCCATAGACAGACTGGTAACGTGGGCCGACACGGGGCAGATGGCGTTTAATGTGGAGAAATGCAAAGTGATGGAGTTTGTGAGGAAGAATGAGGAGAGGCCATATAAGCTGATGGTACAATCTTAAAGGGGGTGAAGGGACAGAGAGACCTGGGGGTCATATAGTAAATCTTTGAAGGTGACCGGACAGGTAGATACAGCTGTTAATAAAGCATCCGGACACGAGGCTTTATAAATAGGGCATAGAATACACAAGTCAGGAAGTCACGATGACCCTTTATATAAATCACTGGTGGGGCCTCAGCGAGAGACTGGGCTCAGTGCTGGGCCCCACACTTTAGGAAGGATGTCAAGGCATTGGAGAGGGTGCAAATATGATTATAATAAAGGGGAGAGAGCGGGGGAGTGGGGTTGATCAGGGCTATGGGGAGAGTGGGGGGGAGTGGGGTTGATCAGGGTTATGGGGAGAGTGGGGGGAGTGGGGTTGATCAGGGCTACGGGGAGTGCGCGGGGGTGTGGGGTTGATTTGGAAGCTCTTCTCAAGGAGCCGACACAGACACGATGGGCCGAATGGCCTCCTTCTGTGCTGTATATTCTATGATACCCATCTCCTGGCGTAGCCCCTGAACACATGACTGTCTCTCTCTAACTCTGGTTTCTGTGTGACAGGATAAAGGAGAAGTTCCCTCATGCGTTTGATGACATCTGTCTGTACTCTGAGGTGTCCCACTTGCTGGCTCACTGCACCTTCCGGCTGCCCTCACGCAGGTTCATCCAGGAACTCTTCCAAGACGTGCAGTTCCAGCCAGTAAGTGACTGACAGATTCTGTGTGTGTGTCTGTGCGTGTCTGTCTGTGTGTGTGCGAGTGTATTTATGTGTACGTATATATGCGTGTCTATCTGTGTGTGTGCGAGGGATCCCCTCTAATTCTTCTATATTCTGGAGAATATAGGCCCAAATTGGTCAGCCTCTCCTCGTAACTCATCCCTGGTACTAACCCAGTAAATCTCCGCTGCACCCCCTCCAAGGCAAGTACATCCTTCCTTAAATAAGGAGACCAAAACTGCACACAATATTCCAAGTGTGGTCTCACAGGGCCCTATACAGTTGCAGCAAAACTTCCCTACTCTTATACTCTAATCCTTTCATAATGAATGCTAACATACCGTTTCCCTTCCTAATTGCTGCTGCAGCTGCAGACTAACTTTCTGTGATTGGTGTACAAGGAACCCAAGTCCCTCTGGACCCTAACACCTTCCAATCTCTCCCCTTCTAAAATATAACCCGCTCTACTGCTTTTGCTACCGAGGTGGATGACTTCTCACTTCCCTACATTATACTTCATCTGCCACCTATCTGCCCGATCACCAAACCTATCTATGTCTCACTGCATTTTTTTAATGTGGTCCTCTGTGTTGGCACTTCCTCCTAGTTTTGTGTCATCCCCGAATTTAAATATATTAACTTCGATGTCCTCATCAAGATCGTTGATGTAGGTGGTAAATAGCTGAGGCCCGAGGACTGATCCTTGTGGCACTCCACTCGTCACATCCCGCCAATCTGAAAAGGACCCGTTTATCCCTACTCTTTGTTTCCTACCCGTTAACCATTCCCCAATCCATGTTAATACGCTCTCCCCAATTCCATGGGCCCTTATCTTTTGGACTAACCTTTTATGTGGCACTTTATCGAATGCCTTCTGGAAGTCCAAATAGACCACTGATTCACCCTTATCGAGTTTACTGGAAATGTCCTCAAAACACTCTATGAGATTTGTCAAACATGACCTCCCTTTTGTAAAGCCGTGTTGACTCGGCCTAATTATATTGTGCCCTAAATACTGCACTACCACATCCTTAGTCAATGATTCTAAAATGTTTCCTATCGCTGATGTGAGACTAACTGCCTACAGTTCCCCATCTGTTCCTTTCCACCTTTTATAAATAGTGGTGTGACATTTGCGATCTTCCAGTCCATGGGGACTGTTCCAGAATCCAAGGAATTTTGGAAGATCAGACATAAGGCCTCCACTATCTCATAAGCTCCTCTTTTAAAACCCTGGGATGCAAACCATCCGGACCGGGGATTTGTCACTTTTTAGTGCTAACAGCACCAATTCTCTACTGATGAAAATTTCCCTAAGTTGCTCCCTGTCCTTATCCCTTTGGTGCATCTCTATAGATGTCAGACTTGTTGTGTCTTCTAGGGTGAAGACAGATGCAAAGTCCCCATTTAGGGACTCTGCCGTGTCCTTGTCCCCCATTACAAACTTCTCCCGTCTCTGACTGAAGTGGACCTACATTTACTCTCACAGCCTATTCCTCTTAATATATTTGTAAAAACTTTTACAACCAGACTTAGTGTTCCCAGCGAGCTTACCCTCATACTCCTTTTTCTCGATCTTAATGAGTTTTTTAGTTTTATTTTGCTGGTTTCTAAAACTCTCCCAATCTTCAGATTTACTGCTTTTCTTGGCAGTTTTATAAGCCTTTTCTTTTAATTTGATGCTTTCCCTACTGCTCTAGTTAGCCACGGATCAATTGCTTTCCCTGTGGTTCTCTTATTCCGCAAGGGAATATGCGACCGCTGAGAATTTTGCACTACATCCTTAAATATTTGCCACTGTTGGTCTACATTTTCACCTCTTAATCTTATTCTCCAGTCTATTTTACCTAAATCTTTCCTCATACCTACAAAATTAGCCCTATTTAAATTCAGAATACCTGCCTCGGATTTAACTATATCCCTCTCTAACTTAATGCAGAATTCATTATTCATCTGTGTGTCTTGTGCGTGTGTCTGTGTGTGAGAGAGAGGAAGGGGGATTGCTGAGTGTAATGGTGTGTGTGTGTGTGTGTGTGTGAGGGGGGTTATGTTATGTGTGACACAGTCGGTGTGCTGTTCGCTCTATATAAGTGTCCCTCTCCTCTCCCGGCAGCTGTACGAGGAGGCTGACACGGTGCTGGTGGTGGCAGTGAAGCCGGGTGAAGCTGAGCTGAGCGCTGCCTCCTGACCCGGTGTGTGAGTGGCCACGGAGAGAGCCTGTGTATCCTCCCGGGATCTGGTACCAACGCACCCATCACCTCCCTCCCTCTCTCGCTTCCTCCATCCCGGGGACAGGAGGCACCACCTCACCCCACCCACTGTCTGACTTATTTATTTCCCTTCCTCCCTCCCTCCCTCTGTCCTGGAGTTGGAGGGATTAACACTACAGCAGGTGTGAAACAGCACAGCCCTGACGCCACTAACCTTCTCCTTCCTTCCCAAACCTTTCCCCTTCCCCGCCCCTGTGCCAGTGAGGGAGACAGGCACAGAGCAACGCCATGAAACTGGGCAGCAGTAGGTCAATAACCTGCATTGAGGTTCCTCTGTGCTGGCACAGGTTTCCTGGTGAGGAGCCAAGCACAGAGGAACCTCGCTGCAGGTCACTGTCTGTGCGCAACATTTGCTGCTCTGACACAAGGGACTGTAGCCAGAGTAGCCATGTGTGTGAGCCGGGAGAATTTCCCCCACAGCCCAGCCCATGGCTCAGCCAGTGTCTGCGCTGTGAGTCACACACACACACACACATACACTCAGACAGACTCAGACACGCACACTCAGACACACTTTTAGAGACACACACAGACACACTCTTAGAGACACACACTCAGACACACACACTCCAAACTCTTAGAGACAGACACACACTCTTAGAGATACACACACTCTTAGAGACACACACAGACACAAGCCCGTGCCAGCCAACAAGCTGTGGGCAGAGGCTGGGAGGTTGAGAGTGAGCTTTGGCCTGACCTACCCATGGAACCAGAGGCCCCCACCCACCCACCCACCCAGCCTGACAGACAGACAGACACCCACCCAGCCTGACAGACAGACAGACACCCACCCAGCCTGCCTGACAGACAGACACCCACCCAGCCTGACAGACAGACAGACACCCACCCAGCCTGACAGACAGACAGACAGACTGCTCTGTCTTGAGGTTTGCAAGATTTGTGTACGATTCTCAAATCCAGTGATAATTTGGAAACAGAAGTTTTCTTCTGTGGAAAATAAACTTAAACCCGGAATCGGATCTGAGATTCTGCCCCACCTTAAATTTAACATCAAAATGGTCTTCCAGGTAAAGACTGGATGAATTTCAGGTCTCAGGAGCTGGAGGTTCCCTGTCCTATTCCCTCTCTCCCTGTCCTCTCCCCTTCGCCCCCACCCACCCCCTTCTCTCTCCCTCCCTAACCCCGGGGTCTGAGGCCAGTTGTAGCCTGTTCTGCTGCCCCCTCGGCTGCGATCGGTATCTGCACCGAGCGGCTGACAGGAGCCGGGAAACTACACGATAAAGACTGTTAGTGACTCCACAGGAGCCAAAGGGGTCAGTTCAGAGCTGAGCTGCTTCTCTTTCAGTGGGGAGTGTGTGTAGCTGAGAGGGGTCCGTGTGTGTCAGCTTCAGTGTCAGTGCCTTCCCTGATCTGATCTCACGTACAGGAGAGGGGGGTAGAATTCAGGGCTGTTGTGATTGTGGCTGATGAGCTGTGGGGAGAGGAGGGGGTGTTTAGCTGTGGGGGTGGGAGGGGGTGATGGAGACCAGGGGTGTATGAGAGGCGGCACAGGGGGCTGAGATATCAGTGGTCACATTAACCAGATCAGACGTTGTGTAAAACCATGGGAAACGGCATCTAACCGTGTCTGTGCTCAGGCCCACTGTGTGTCTACCTCTGTCACAGGTACTGCTGGGAACTCCCTCCCTCCCCCCGGTCACCCCTCCCTCCCCCCGGTCACCCCTCCCTCCCCCGGTCACCCTCCCTCCCCATAGTCACCCCTCCCTCCCCACAGTCACCTCTCACTCCCCTTTTCTCTTATTCCCAATCCAACAACACTAATGGCAACCGCGAGGCCTCACTGTGGTTAGTGCTCTCTGGTGCCCACACTGAGGGCAGCCGGGGGCCCTGCCCCCACACCCCCCCCACCCCCCAACACACACACAGCCCTACCCCCACACAGACACACAGACCTCCCACTAGGAGACATCACCGAGAGTGTTCCCAATACACATTGATTTGTTCAGGGTAAAGCCCTGTTGACTCTTACCCCCATTTCCCTCACTTCCTTTCTCTCCAACTCGCTTCTCTACCTTTCTCCTCTCACTGACTCTCTCTCTCTCTCTCTCTCTCTCTGTGTGTCTGGCTAATTAGATTGGAAAATGAAGGGAGACATAGGCCAAGGTTTGCTCACAGGTGAGAGGTTTGACCCAGCGTTGTGCTGTGTTACGTGGGGGACAGAGAGAAACGGGGGGGAAATCTGACAGCAATGACCAACACATTCACACCCATCGACCCAGCATTTGTGGATCTGTCTGTTTGTTTTCTGATAAGCTGCTACGTTACTCGGATGTCCAGTGTTTATAGGTCACTGAACACCACACGGGATTTATATTGTATACCTGTAACATAGAGAATTCAACAGAAGAAAGAAGAAATTATTTATATTTTCCATAAGAGAATATTTCATGAAGCTGTGTATAATTTAAATAAAATGCAAAGCGAAGGCAGTGTCAGGGTTTTTTTTGCCCAATTGTGGTTCCTCTGTATAGTGTGTACAGTTTGTGTTTCTGGGCATCTCTCTTCTGAACATTCACTCTGATCAAAGGGGTGCGTTAATAAAAGTACTGAAACGCACTTTCCTGGCGTCCAGTCCTTATTTACTGTCAGTCTGGTTATTATAATAATCCGTGTGTGTTATATACTGCCTTATCTGTTTGTACGTATTTCCACGACTGTTTGTGGGACACTGCTGCGCGCAATTGGCTCCTGTGTTTCGTCCACAAAGTTATAGAGTCAATTTACAGTATATTCTGTGAAGCAATTATTATTATCCCCCATCAAAACATGTCAGAGGGTTTATTTTATGTGTTAATTACAGATTAACTACAGTGGGGCTGTATGTGGGCGGGGCCTGTAACAGGTTATTAATCCTTGAATTTGATATATCTCCTTATCAAATCCTTGAGACGTATCAAAGCGCTTCACAGAATATACTGTAAAGTGAATTGACTAAATTTTGTGGGTGAAATGCGACAGCCAATTGTGCACAGCAGTGTCCCCACAAACAGTCGTGGATTGAGTGACCAGATTATAATATTTTTGAAGGCATTATTTCCTCCCAGAAAAGCAATCCCCTGATTGACTAACACCCGGGTTCCTGCTTATTGTTAGGTAAACAGACGTGTGGAGTTAGGAAACTTGCCCAATGTTTCGCTCTGCCCAGGAATCACACCCGGGTCCTCGCGCTTGTGAGGTGAATGCTGTAACTACAAAACTACAGGACTCCACAATCATTTTACAATAAGAAAGTGATGATGTGGGTATTCGCCTTTCTCTCATCCCACAACAGGAGAAACTGAATGGTGTTATTATTATTGTCAAGTGAAGTGACTGTAGGCAAATGAGTCAGGCAATTTGCACACAGTAATAATAATAATCCTTGTATTGGATATAGCTCTCAGGTCTGAGACGTCTCAAAGCGCTTCACAGAATATACTGTAAAGTGAATTGACTATATTTTGTAGGTGAAATATTGTATTGTCCCACAAACAGCCATTAAAGTGAATGAGCAATTGTTTGTGGGGAATTTTGGCCAAAACACCGGGAGAAAAACTCCTTCTGCATTAGTAATATTGGATCATTAATATCCACCTGAACAGGAAGATGGATATTCAGCACCGCTCATATTGTAGTGCTTCCCTTCAGCACTGCACCAGAGCATCACTACAGCCATCAGTACTGACTCAGTGGCTCAAACCCACATCCTGAAACTACAACAGTACAACTGAGACTTAATGAAAATAAATAATAATTCTTGCATTTGTTATTGCGCCTTATCATGTCTTTGAGATATCTCAAAGCTTCACAGAATATACACAACGATAGACAGAATATATGCAAGGATTATTATTACTAATACTGTGCAAATTGACTGCCTCAATTGCCTGCAAAGGGTGAGCCTTCCACCACTCTGCCCCCACCCTCTGGACCTCCATACCAGTCCTTCCATCTCGCCCCCCTCCCTCACCCCCCTCCCTCGCCCCCTCCCTCGCCCCCTCCCTCGCCCCCTCTCTCACCCCCTCCCTCACCCCCTCCCTCACCCCCCTCCCTCACCCCCTCCCTCACCCCCTCCCTCGCCACCTTCAAGATTCATCTCAAGATCCTCCTCTTTGACCGCGCTTTCGATCTCCGTGCTTCCCCCCCCCCCCCCGCCCTCAGCAGCTCGGGTCTGTAACTCGGCTCTGGGATGTCCTCCCGACGTGAAAGGCTTTACACGTGGAATGTTGTTGTTGTTGTATACTGTAAAGTGAATTGACTATTTTGTGGGCGAAACTCGGCAGCGAACAGACAGTCATGGATTGAATGACCAAATTATTTTTTGATTTAAATATATTATCCCAACATTGCAAAGTAAACTACCAACACAACAGAAACCAATCTTCGAGTAACTTGTTTTATTAAAAATAAAATGACATTAATTCAACATTTATAGATCTACAAAAACAAAATGCAGCAGTAAACATTTCTTTGCTGCGAAGCCTATGTAGTGGTATAATACCTGTGTAGTGTTGGACATTTGATTTCATACCGTGTTCAGCTAAAAGGCAGAAACCATTCTGTTGACAAGAGGTTTGGATACAATACAAAATGACAATTGAACAGCGCCTTTCCCATCGGGAGGACATCCCAGGGATTTGTATGTGAGCTGGGGGTTGGGATCAGGGAGGGTGGAGGGCAGAGGTTGGGGGGTGGTCAAAGGCGGAACTGAAGAGGATTCTGAGACGTGCCTTGAAACGAGGCAACGGAGCGAGGGGAAGGGACTGGGATGGAATCCCAAAGGATGGACGCAAAGAGGCGGAAGGAGCAGAGAGCAGATGTAGACGGTTACTCATTTCAGTTATCTTTGGGACAGGTTACGAGGCAGGGAGAGGAGCCACGACACTGGGAAGATGTTCGGTGGGTAATCTGAAACCAATATCAAAATTGGAATTGGACAAGAATAAATGGAATTATTTTCCTCTCAAATATTTATCCCATCTCTTCCAACCACCTTTTGGTTAGAATACAGAGCTCCAGTGACGGAACAGGACAATCACAGACATTCAGTAGAATGGGGTTAGAGTAGAGAGCTCCAGTGGGGGAGTGAGCACCAGCACAGACACGATGGGGGGAGAGCAGGGAATGGGGTTAGAGTAGAGAGCTCCAGTGGGGGAGCGAGCACCAGCACAGACACCATGGGGAGAGAGAGAGCAGGGAATGGGGTTAGAGTAGAGAGCTCCAGTGGGGGAGTGAGCACCAGCACAGACACGATGGGGAGAGAGAGAGCAGGGAATGGGGTTAGAGTAGAGAGCTCCAGTGGGGGAGCGAGCACCAGCACAGACACGATGGGGAGAGAGCAGGGAATGGGGTTAGAGTAGAGAGCTCCAGTGGGGGAGTGAGCACCAGCACAGACACCATGGGGAGAGAGAGAGCAGGGAATGGGGTTAGAGTAGAGAGCTCCAGTGGGGGAGTGAGCACCAGCACAGACACGATGGGGGGAGAGCAGGGAATGGGGTTAGAGTAGAGAGCTCCAGTGGGGGAGCGAGCACCAGCACAGACACCATGGGGAGAGAGAGAGCAGGGAATGGGGTTAGAGTAGAGAGCTCCAGTGGGGGAGTGAGCACCAGCACAGACACGATGGGGAGAGAGAGAGAGCAGGGAATGGGGTTAGAGTACAGAGCTCCAGTGGGGGAGTGAGCACCAGCACAGACACGATGGGGAGAGAGCAGGGAATGGGGTTAGAGTAGAGAGCTCCAGTGGGGGAGTGAGCACCAGCACAGACACCATGGGCTGAATATTCTCCTTTTGTGCCATAATTTTCAATATATATTTCTTCATCTGAACTGCTCTTGTGATCACAAAGGACAGTGTTGTGTTTTACAGATGGTTTGATCCCAGAGTTTGTCCGGTTGTGTTCAATCAGAGGCTTCATCATCAGATATTCCCTTTACATTGTTTTGTAACAATGACTATATATAGTTACACATAAAGCAGATGATTACATACACTTTCTCTCAGTACAGTATAATATCAATGGGGCATTGCCTTTGGGGAAATGGTCAAATTCCTTTAGAATGGAAATACATCAAAGTGTGTTAAGTTTTCTGAGGCTGAAGGTAACTCAGACTCTCTCAGTGTAAACGTGATACATCCAACCAGAGAGACTTTGTGATGTGCTAATTAACACTGATATCAACCTCTTGACCATGAAATAATGACACCTGGACTTGTCCTGGGGGTGTCGGTGCTGCTCCCAGTGCTCAGGGTTTGTGCCATTGACTGCTCATTGGTGGCCACTGAAATCCCAGTAACACCAGCAGCTCAATGGACCCATTTGCCCACTGGAGGCTCAGGGTTTACCAGGAGACCAGAACGCATTACATTTACATAGCGGCCATCATACCGGGCAGCGTCCGTGTTAGTGGCAGAGCACGGGGGGCGGGGGAGGTGATCATAGGAACGGTCAAAGAGGAAGGCCTTCAGGCACGACCTGGAGGCAACCCAATGGGTGGTGGGTTGGGGAGTAAGCAGGTTGGAGAGGTGGGGGGGTGTCAGGGTGTGAAGGGATTTGAAAATGAGGATCTTAAAATCAATTCATTTGGCGATAGGGAGTCAGTGGCGATTTACAACATGGAGAACAAATTTCTTATGGAATCACATTAAGAACTGCCATAAATGGGTAGAACTGCCTGTGGTGGATGAGGTCGACAGTAATCTCACTCAGTTGAGGGTTGCAGAGCCTGACACAGATGGTCCTGATTTTGCCCACAAAATATACAGTCTCTTAGCGCTTTACAGTATATTCTGTGAAGCGCTTTGAGACGTCTCAAAGGCGCGATATCAAATGCAAGGATTATTATTAGTTTTCTCTTTGTATCATCTTATCAAAACACCTCAAAGCTTCACAGCTGATTCCTGACAGTGTCTTTTGGGCAAAAACTGCATCCGTTGGTGTCCAGCCTGAGGTGAATGACCAATTTAGGTGGTGGATTACTGATGATTGGGGAAAGGTCTCTAATCTCCAGCTCTGTGGGCCCTGTACACAGTGTCGTGCTGCTGATTAAATGAGTTTTAAGATGAATTAAGTTGGAATAAATAGATGGAACAATAATGGAGATGCTGAGGCTGTAGGGCTCTAGGGCTGTGGAATGGTGACCCTGGGGCCCAGGACAAGGGCAGCTCATTAGCCTCAAACACTCGCTCTGCCACTAACTGAAACCCTCACAGCACAAGTTCACACATACACACATCCCAAAGCAGGAAGAGTGGGCGCAAAGCAAAGGGCCTCAAGAGCAGGGACTCAAAGCTCAGCCACCAGTGGAATGAGGGGGAGAGTGAGGGACGAGGAACACATCGATAACAAACCAGCTCCCACTCCAACACACCAAACGTCCTCTCCTCCTCCCCCGCCCTCCCGCAGTGAGACAATGCCTGTAACTGAACGGAATTTGGGTATTGTCAGCCTGACATGAGCTGATGGAGGTCAAGGTTGAGGGGAGGGGATGGTGGTGGAGGGCGGGAGATGGTGGTTGAGGGGAGGGAGGATGATGGTTGAGGGGGTGATGGTGGTTGAGGGGGGGAATGGTGGTTGAAGGGGGTGGGGGGAGGATGGTGGTTAAGCGGGGAGGTGGTGGTTGAGGGGGGTGGTGGTTGAGGGGGGTGGGGGGAGGATGGTGGTTGGGGGGGTGGTGGTTGAGGGGGGGGAATGGTGGTTGAGGGGGGGAATGGTGGTTGAGGGGGGGAATGGTGGTTGAGGGGGGAATGGTGGTTGAGGGGGGGAATAGTGGTTGAGGGGGTGTGGGGAGGATGGTGGTTGAGGGGGGTGGGGGAGGATGGTGGTTGGGGGGGATGGTGGTTGGGGGGGGATGGTGGTTGGGGGGGGATGGTGGTTGGGGGGGGGGGTGGTGGTTGGGGGGGGTGGGGAGGAATATATTAACTGGTATAAAAAGAAAGAACTTGTGTTTATGCAGCACTTGGGTCACGTGGGAACATCTCAAAGAACACAATCCCTGTCGGGTGCAGACTATCAGACTATCAGACTGACTGTCAGACTGACTGTCAGACAGGGAGAAGCAGCAGCCAATACACACAGTGAGGTCCCAAAGCTGCCGGCCAGGACGTGAACGGACGGTTTATGTGCGGAATTGTCGGCCTAGACACCGGGAGAAACGTCCTTCTGTGTTGCGATCGTGTTGTGGGATTTTTACGCTGAGGACACACAGGAGAGCTGAGAGGACCAGGAAGGTTTGGCCTGGGCTCCCCTCAGGGTATAATCCTGGCCTCTGCCCCTGGCTTCCAGTGACAGTTCGGGGGTGGGGGGAGGGAGGGAGGAGCTGCAAGAAGGACTTGGAGCTGTTCATGTGTTGAAGAAGGAGGAGAGAGGCCAGCTCCTGTTCCCGGCTGGGAGCTCAGCGCTCTCTTGCTCTGCGAGCAGGAATGTTTGGGAATTGACGGATGTGGGGCTGCCGATGGGGGTGGTGATGGGGGGCTGCTGGTCAGCGATGCCCAGGCTGTCAGGCTGCATCTGGGGCTTGTACCCGCAGTGTGTGGGCAGGGATACCTCTGGGGAGGAGAGGTCCTGAGGGGCAGCACTTGGGGGGGTGTGGGAGTGGATCTGGGGCTGGTAACCAGACTTCACAACGATATCTGTCTGCGCCTGTGGTTGCTCGGGCCCCGGCCTGCCCTGCCGCTGGTACCCAGAGCTCTGGATAGTGGAGTAGGTGACCTGGCTCGGGCACGGAGGCGAGGGCGGCAGAGAGGAGACGTCGAAGGCTAGGTTTGTGCGGCCCGAGGTGTTGGAGGGCAGGTTGGTATCGGTTGATACCCGCTGTGGGGTGTAGGACAGCACGCCTTGGCTCTGGCTCTCCTGGTTGGATGTGTCGTCAGGGATTGACTCGTACAGGCTGCCCTTCCTGCCCTCCATCGCCAGCTGTCTGCCCTCCACCACCTGCACCTCGTTGGGGATGCAGTCCCTGGGCTCCAGCGTACTGCAGGTGGTGACTCCCTGGAGGGAACAAACCAACAACAGGACAAGTAAGGGCCCCAATGCCATCATCCTCACGCTCCATACAGCAGCCATCAGGTCAATGTGTCTCACAGCCCTTCAGCTACTTGTTATCAAGTGTAATGACTGTATTTTGTGGGAGAACAAAGCAGCCAGTAAGTAGTGTAATAATAACAATAATCCTTGCATTTGATAAAGCGCCTCATCACATCTTCGAGACGTCTCAAAGCGCTTCACAGAATATACTGTAAAGTGTAATGACTGTGTATTTTGCGGGTGAAACGCGGCAGCCAATTGTACACAGCAGTGTCCCCACAAACAGTCGTGGATTGAAGTGACCAAATTATTATTATTATTTTCTTGAAGGGATTATTACCCTGGAAAGTGATCTGCCAATTGACTAACAACCGGGTCCCTACTCACTGCTGGTAATCAGAGGTGTGTGGAGTAAGGAAACTTGCTCAGTGTTTTGCTCTGCCCGGGAATCAAACCCGGGTCCTCTCGCTCTCTCGAACCAGTACACCACAGGACTCCAAATTCTGCCATTGCAATCCATTTTGCAGATAGGTAGGTTTCACACACACACGCACACACACATGCACATATGCGAACATACACACACGCGCACACATACACACGCACACACACACACAGGCACACGCACAGACGCACATGTGCGAACACAGGCACACATGCACACACACACGATGCACACAAAGGCACACGCGCACATACACACAGATATGCACATGTGCGCACACAGGCACACACACACACACTCAGACACACGTATGCACATACATGCAAAATGGGCCATACCTGAAAGAAATTTCCATCCTGCAGAACTTTGCTGTTATTGGGGTCGGGAATGTCAGGATAAAAGCTCTCTTTGATCCTATAAGCAGACGGGGATAAGACAGAAAGTGTTGTTCAGTGATCAGAGGGTCACAGAAGCGAACTGCGCACAGGCAGTCACTCTACACACACACTACACACTACATCACACAAACACCTCGCCGTTACTTACATTTCAAGACAACAATTTGCGTTTACACAGCGTCCCCCACGCAGGGCACCGTCCCAGAGCCTGACAGCGGTGGAGCACGACACCGAGCCGGGGGAGGGGGAGGTCATGGTAGGCACGGTCGAAGAGGAAGATGGTCAGGCGCGATCTGAGATGGGGAAGGAGGCGACAAGCCGGAGGGAGGGATAGAGGGAGTTTCCGGGCGTAGTGGCTGAAAGCGCAGCCACCAATGGTGGAACAGAGGGGACGAGCACAATAATAATAATAATAATAATCCTTGCATTTGATATAGCGCTTTTCATGTCGGGAGGACGTCCCAAAGCGCTTCACAGAACACACTGTAAAGTGAATTGACTGTATATTTGTGGGCGAACGCGGCAGCCAATTGCGCACAGCAATGTCCCACAAACAGTCGTAGATTGAAAATGACCAATTTATTATTGTTTTTGGTTTTGGAGGGATTATTATTAGGCTCTGTGTGGAGTAAGGAAACTTGCCCAAGGTTTCGCCCTCTGCCTGGAATTGAACTCAGGTCTCTCACTGGCAAAGCGAGTGCTCTAACCACTGAGCTACAGGACTCCACAAAGAGAGAGGCCGGAGCCAGTCGAGTGGAGGCAGCGGGTTGTGGGTTGGGGAGTAAGTAGGTCAGAGAGGTCGGGAGGTGCCAGGACGTGAAGGGATTTGTAGAAGAGTGTGACGACGAGTGGGACAATATGGTGTTGGAGGATAAAACTAGGAGGTATTTCAGACCTGTGGACATATCTGGTGAAGGGGACAGAGAGAGGCGGTGGGGGGGGAGCGGGGGGGGGGGGAAGGGAAGGTGGAGAGGAACTTACCATTCCTGTTTGCGATAGCAGAAGACACTGAGCATCAGTCCCAGTATTAGGGCCAGGAGGAGAGGTACAGTGATGCCCAGGATCAGGGTGAGGGCTGAGGGGAGAGGAGAGAACAGTCAGTACAGTCAGACACTGATCCACACCACACAACACAGTGGAGTCCTGTAGTTCCGTGGTTAGATTCCTTCGCAAGTGAGAGGTCACGGGTTTGATTCCCAAGCTGCCAGGTCATCAGGAGAGAGAAACTGCCTTCTCTTTTTGAAGGGATTATTAAACCCCAGTGTCTAACCACTAAGCTATAGGACTCCACATGAGTACACACAGACTTGGTTTAATGTCTCATCCAAAGGACGGAGTCTCTGAAAATGCATCTCCCTCTCGTTCCCCCCCCCATCGCTGTGCTGGAACGTCAGCCTGGACTGTGAGCTCAGAGACCCTGATGTAAGGGGTGGGGGGGGGGGCTTGAATCCACATCCTCCTGATCCCGTGGTGAGAGTGCATGTGACTAAGCAAAGCCGGGAGCTTTTTTTTTGCCCAGCCGGGTATCTGACACACACACAAACCCATCACTGTTGCTTAAGAGTCTCTAAACCAAACTGAGAATTCCCTGCCTTCCACCTACACATGGGAATCCCAGAGATAGATTGTTGGGATGGAATGCGCTCTCTCTCTCTCTCTCTCTTTCTCTCTCTCCCTGGAGGGAGGCATCCTGTTTACCTAATTCCGGAGAGTATTAGGCACAGGTTGGCAAGAGCCAAGGCTTGGGGGGAGCCCAGAGAGTGTGTTGGGGTAACTGCTGGAGTCCAACCAGTTAAACCAGTTGGTCATTGATATCTCTGTCTGACAAGCTTTCCTGCTACTTGTCCAGCGAGGACCACTCTCCCCGTTGAGCGAGGCTGAGCTGTGCTGTCATCAGCAGTGCCCTGGAATACTGCACACTGAACTGGCTCAGGAACCAGACTACCTGGGGGACAATGTGTGGGGGAACTGAGGGCTGGGGGGGGCAGTGGGGTAACTGAGGGGGAGGGGGTAGTGTGAGGGTAACTGAAGGCTAGTGGGGGAGTGGGGGAAGGGTGCTGGGTAACTCACGGCTGTTCAGGGTAGTGACCATGGTCAGTTTGACCGGACCCTCCCCTCCTCCAGTGAAGGCGCTCACAGCGATGTTGTACGTTGTGCCAGGATTCAGGCCATTGATCTTAAAGATCTTCTTCTCCGAGGCTCGTATCGTCTCTGGGGTAACGGGTGAAGAGGAAAGAGAAAGGATAGTCAGAAATGTGGGAACGCTGAAGGGGCATACAGCATCTTCACATCACCTCCAGACACCCTCATCACCCTCTTCTTCCCTCCAGATACCCACCCTCCCTGCCATCTATTTGAAATGACCACCCTCCCCCCCCACCCCCCTTGCGTGCGCGTGAGTGCATGTGTGTGTGTGTGCACGTGTGTGTGTGCGCATGGGTGTGTGTGTATCTCACACATGCTGTGTTACTAAGCTAAGATAACAGAGACCAGACGTACTTGCGGGCTGGCTGAGCCAGGCTGGGGACGAGGCGTTGCTCTTGATATAATAGATGTTAAATCCCTCAATAAACCCTCGTAGCTTGTCCTGGGGGATGTCCTCCCACTGCAGCCAAATCCAATCCCCCGCCGTCTCCCTCACTGTCACCTCAGGCCCATCAGTGGGCGCTAAACACCACCAGACAATGAAGAGACTTTTACTGGTAGCTCTGTCTCTCTCCAGCTCACACACTCTGTCTATCTGTCCCACACAGTCTCAATCTCTCTCATAAACTCTCTCTCTCTCAGTCTCTGTCACTCTATCTTTCTCTCTCACAAATACAGTTTCTGTCTGCCTGTCTGTTTCAAACATACTCTCTGTCAGACATTCTCTCACAGTTTCTCTCTGCCCCAGTCTCTCTTTCTGTCTCAGTCTCTCTCTGTTTCACTCTCTCTCTGTCTCAGTCTCTCTCTCTGCCTGTTTCTGTCTCAGTCTCTCTGTCTCAGTCTCTCTCTGTCTCAGTCTCTCTAAGTCTCTGTCTGTCTCAGTCTCTGTCTGTCTCAGTCTCTCTCTGTCTGTCTCAATCTCTGCCTCAGTCTCCCTCAGTCCCATGTACCTGATGCTCACCTAGTTCTTTTGTGTAGCCAACCTGTTCCTCCAGTAAGTAATCACCGTCCGGCCTGCACTCATACACTGAGAAGTTGTAGCGCACTCCAGGTTTAAAGACATCTGTGGGAGAATAAGAAAATCAAATGAAAACTGTCCTGCGCAGAGCAGATTACAACAAGCCCTGGGGGGGGGGGGGGGGCAGCTTAACATGCATCAACAACAACTTACATTTATATCATGCCTTTATGTCAGCCTGGCTCAGGTGGTGAAACTCTCACCTGAGTCAGGAGGTTGTGGGTTGGGCGTTTGAGCTCACAGTCCAGGTTGACAGAGCTGGGAGGAGCCCTGAGACATAAAACCAAGGACATCTGAGTGGTCGTCTCAAAGTGTTTAAAGTGTTTCCTCTTCGACCGTGCCTTCAGTCACCTCCTCTCTTTATCCAGCTGAGCAACAACCCACACTGCTATACCACGCTCCTAGACATTACTCATGTGAGGGATGCTATATAAATGCAAGGTGTCGTTATCTGTTCAGGTGGACATTAAAGATCTTGCGATACTATTCGAAAAGAGAGTTAATCTTTCTCTCTTTCTCTTTCTCTCTCGTTGTCCTGGCCAACAATTCCCCAGATAAAATTGGTCTTATTATTATTAACTTCCTGGCTGTTTGCAGGTTGTCGCTGTGCAAACATTTGCTCACTATGAAATACACAGTCACTACATTTTACAGTATATCCTGTGAAGCGCTTTGAGACATCTTCCTGACGTGAAAGGCTCTAGGTTCATTGCAAAACAGCTCGATACTTTGATGGGAAGGCGGGAGGCCAGTTGGGAGACATGAGATCAAATAGAGCAGATTACCCTCTACATCCAAACCATCTGTGAGCTAAACGCTCTACTGAGATCAAACTAATCTTTGTCACTGGCTTTAACTCTGGAACACTCTCCCTCTGTCCCTCCCTCCGCCTCCTTCCCCATCTTCAGGTCGCGCTTCCGCTTCAACCGTGCCTATGGTCACCTCCCCCCTCCCCCGGCTCTGTGTCGTGCTCCTCCACTGTCAAGCGCTCTGGGACGCTGCCTGTGTGACGGGCACAGTGGTTGTTGTTGTCGAACGTGTGGTAACAGATGCCAGAGACGGGCAGAAAATAATAATATTCCTTGCATTTGATATAGCGCCTTATCACGTCTTCGAGACGTCTCAAAGCGCTTCACAGGATATATTGTAAAGTGAATTGACTATATTTTGTGAGTGAAACTCGGCAGCCAATTGTGCACAGCAGCGTCCCCACAAATAGCCGTGGATTGAGTGACCGCATTTTTAAATGCCAAAAAATGCTCCAAACACTTTACCTGATCGGATGACGGCGTGCCGGAGGTTGGAGGGTAATTTGAGCCACTCTGGCTGGCAGTCAGGGGGTCTGCACCACTGCACAGTGTAGCCACAGCTCCTGTGGTGTCTGCTCTCCCAACTTAAGTTGAATCCACCTTCCGAACCAGTCACTCTCTCCACCTCCACAGCTACATCACCTGGAGAAGCAGAGAAACCGGCAGAGGTGTGGTCATGGAAACAGCATACTCTCTGTGTCTCTCCTACGCTTCTCTGTCTGTCTGTCTCTGTCTGTCTGTCTCTGTGTATCTCTCTAACTGCATGTGTGGGTGTCTCTCTCTCTCTGTTTCCCTGAGTGTGTGTGTATGTGTGTCTCTCTATTTCCCTGTGTATCTGTATGGGTGTGTGTCTCTCTCTCTCTCTGTTTCCCTGTGTGTGTGTGTCTCTTTTTCTCTGTCTCTGAGTGTATGTGTGTCTCTCTCTCTCTCTGTCCCTGAATGTGTCTTTCTCTCTATGTCCGAGTGTGGGTGTATGTGTGTCTCTCTGTTTCCCTGTGTGTGTGTGTGTGTGTATCTCTGTCTGTCTCTGATTGTGTGTGTGTGTCTCTCTCTGTCCCTGAATGTGTCTTTCTCTCTATGTCCGAGTGTGAGTGTATGTGTGTCTCTCTCTGTTCCCCTGTGTGTGTGTGTGTGTGTATCTCTCTCTGTCTGTCTCTGATTGTGTGTGTGTGTGTCTCTCTCTCTCTGTCCCTGAGTGTGTCTTTATCTCTATGTCCGAGTGTGGGTGTGTGTGTCTCTCTGTTTCCCTGTGTGTATGTGTCTCTCTCTGTCTCTGAGTATGTGTGTGTGTCTGTCTCTGTCCCTGAGTGTGTCTTTCTCTCTATGTCCGAGTGTGTGTGTGTCTCTCTGTCTCTGAGTGTGTGTGAGTGTGTGTATCTCTCTCTGTCTGTCTCTGATTGTGTGTGTGTGTGTGTCTCTCTCTGTTTCCCTGTGTATATGTGTCTCTCTCTCTGTCTCTGAGTGTGTGTGTGTCTGTTTCCCTGTGTGTGTGTCTCTCTCTCTCTCTGTCCCTGAATGTGTGTGTGTGTGTGTCCCTCTCTCTGTTTCCATGAGTGTGTGTCTCTCTTTTTCCATGAGTGTGTGTGTGTGTGTCTGTTTCCATGAGTGTGTGTGTCTCTCTGTTTCCCTGTGTGTGTGTGTGTGTGTGTGTGTATCTCTCTGTTTCCATGAGTGTGTGCGTATCTCTCTCTCTCTCTCCGTCCTTAAAAAGCCGCTGTGTGAAATGCCAGGATTATTATTATTACACGTTGGACACTTTGGAGGCAGCTGAGCCCCGAAGTGACCCACTTACCTCTGTGAGGAGGGATGGTGATAGTGGAGCGAGGAGAGAGTCCAGCACTGTTCCTGGCGACCACACTGACGCTGTAGGCAGCTGTGTCCAGCTCCAGCTCTGTGCTGGTGCTCACGGCCTCCTCACTGCTCACAGCACCATCTCCCACCTTCTTCCATGTCACTGTGTAGGACTCGATTGGCCCATTAGCCTCAGCGTCTGACAGGGACTGTGAGCAGGACACAGAGGGTTAGAGCAGCAGATTCCTCATGGCCTTAGCCTCAAGAGAACGACGACAGCAACTTGCATTTATGTAGAGCCTTTCACACAGGCTAGCGTCCTGGGGTGCTCGACGGTGGGGGGGGGGGTCTGACCCTGAGCCAGGGGGAGAGGCAAGGAGGAGGTGACCGTCAGCACGATCAAAAAGGAACGTCTTTAAGCACGATTTGGAGGTGAGGAGGGAGGGAGGGGAGCAAGGCGGAGGGATTGAGGGAGAGAGTTCCAGAGTTTCGGAGTGTAGGGACCGAAGGCACGGCCACCGAGAAATACTAGTGCTGAAAAATTGAGAAGCTACAATAATGTGGGACACTGCTGTGCGCAATTGGCTGCAGCGTTTCACCCACAAAATATACAGTCACTACATTTTATAGTATATCCTGTGAAGCCCTTTAAGAAGTCTTAATGTGATAAGGCGCTATATCAAATGCAAGGATTATTATTATTATATTTCAGTTGTTGCTCAGTGCACTGTTAGGCAAAAACAAAACAAAGGACAACAGGAACTTTGTGGACACCCTGTAGTATAATCCTTACCTTCCAGAAAAGCGTGACCATCCGTCTGGAACCATTCACACTAATGTCTCTCCAGACGTCCACACCCACTGATGGAGCTAGGATTGAAACAACAACACGGTTTACACAATGTCCTTCGGGTAGAATCTCACGCAAAGATTCAGTCACAATGAGAAGAGAGACGGCAGAAGTCAGGGCTTTTTTGGCTGGAGCAGAGAAGCTGTTAGTTTTTGACCTAAGCTCATCCTTCTCCCTCCCCTTCTTCTTCCTCTTTGACAAGCGTCAATCTAATAATAATAATAATCCTCGCATTTGATACAGCGTCTCATCACGTCGTTGAGACAACGCTTCACAGAATATACTGTAAAGTGGATTAACCGTATATTTTGTGGGCGAAACGTGGAAGCCAATTACACACAGCAGCGGCCCACAAACAGTCGTGGATTGAGTGAACAATTTTATTTTGAAGGGATTATTACCCCACAGAAAGCGATCCACTAATTGACTAACGACCAGGATCCTACTCACTGCTGGTAAACAGAGGCGTGTGGAGTAAGGAAACTTGCCCAATGTTTCGCCTCCTGCCCGGGAATCAAACCCGGGTCCTCTCGCTTGCGAGGCGAGGGCTCTAACCACTGAGCTACAGGACCCCATAATCCCAGCGTCCTCTCACCTTTCTCAAGCCTCTCTCACCCTCGTCCTGCGGACCCTCTGTGGGAGAATGCTGACATGTTTAGCGACCGCTCGTCACTCACCAGCTTGCTGGGTTCGCACAGTCACTGTGTTACTCCATTCACTCCACTTCCAGAAGTGCTGAGACGTGTAGCGGGCTCTGATGGTGTACAATGTGTTGGCTCGCAATCGGTCTATCTGTACCACGTGGCTTTTATACGGCGATTCTCCACGTACCGAGTAGTTGAGCTGAAACGTAACGTTATTACAAACTGATAACTGACAGTGCTATGTTAGCCAACAGTTAGGGCACAAAGGCCCCAATGTTTCTCAGGCTCTCAGGCTTGAAAATTTAAGGTCATAGAATCACAGAATTTTACAACATAGAAGGAGGCCATTTAGCCCATCGAGCCTGTGCCGGCTCTTTGGAAGAGTTGCCAACTAGTCCCACTCCCCCGCTCTTTTCCCATCTAGTCCCACTCCCCCGCTCTTACCCCAACTAGTCCCACTCCCCCGCTCTTTTCCCATCTAGTCCCACTCCCCCGCTCTTACCCCAACTAGTCCCTCCCCTGGTTCTTTTGCCAATAATCTTAAATCTGTGTCCTCTGGTTACCGCCAGTGGAAACAGTTTCTCCCTATTCAAAACCCTTCATAATTTTGAACACCTGTATTGAATCTCTCCTTAACCTTCTCTGCTCTAAGGAGAACAATCTCAGCTTCTCAAGTCTCTCCATATAACTGAAGTCCGTCATCCCTGGAACCATTCTGGTAAATCTCCTCTGCACCCTCTCCAAGGCCTTGATATCCTTCCTACAGTGCGATGCCCAGAATTGGACACAATATTCCAGCTGAGGCTTAACCAGTGACTTGTAAAGGTTTAGCAGAACTTTCTTGCTTTTGTATTCGATGCCTCTATTTATAAAGCCAAGGATCCCATATGTTTTTAACAGCTCGATCAACCTGTTCTGCCACCTTCAAACACCTGTGTAGGTGAACCCCCAGGTCTCTCTGCTCCTGAACCCCATTTAAAACTGTCAGGTTGTACGAAATTTAGGAAAACAGTCTTGAATTGTCTTAATTTAAAAGCTGATTTTATATCGGTATTAAACATTCATCCAAGCATTTTATATCATACCTGGAAATATTGTCCTAATGTGTAAAAGTGCTTAAATATATCAAATGCAAGTATTATTATTATTTAAAGGTTACAGTATCTACCCTGTGGATGGTAACTTACCAACGTGCTTTTACCCCCCTCTTCGCTGATCACAATCTCACACATCAGCCAAATGCCTTTGTAATTCACTGGGTCCAACCACAACAGAGTGATTGTGTCTGCAGTGACGAGTCCTTGCCTTAGATTATCAGGAGCAAAGGGGTGAACTAGGAAGAGTAAAAAAACACAGGTTAGAGATTTCAATCATTGAATTGATCCAAGAATCATAGAGGTTTACAGCACAGACAGAGGCCGTTCAGCCCATCGTGCCTGTGCTGGTACTCTGAAACAGCGATCTTTTCAGGCCACTACTCTTGCCCTTTAAGTTTAAAATATTTTCTAATTCCCTTTTAATAATTGTTATAGGTTTTATTTCAACCCGTCTTTTTGCACTCACCTACTCGGGTGACATTGACTGAGATGCTGGCTTGTGTTTTCCCCAGTGGGTTTTCAGCAGTCAGTGAGATATTATATTGACTTGTATTGGAGAGTGTATAAGCACACCAGTAATATGCTGAGGTCTGCGAAGCTTTATCACACGTGAGAGATGTTGATCTGAGGAATGAGAGACGTACGTTAGAAACGGGAGCGCTGTGTAGGAGGCTGGTAGTGACAAGACACATTTCTCAGCCACAAACCGCAGTAGAAGCAGAGCCACAAATTATTTTAGAGAAGAGTCCTTAAATAACTACTAATAATAATCCTTGCATTTGATATAGTACCTTAACATGTCACTGAGACATCTCAAAGGGCTTCGTAGAATATACTGTAAAGTGAATCGGTCGTATATTTTGTGGGCGAAATGCGGTAGCCAATTGCGCAGAACAGCGTCCCACAAACAGTCGTGGATTAAATGACCAAATTATTTATTTTTTTTGTAAACAACAATAAAGTTACATTTGTAAAGCATGTTTCAAGTCAGGAGGACGTCCCAAGGTACTGGACAGTCAGTGTTTCGGACCCGAGCTGGGGATCGGGTTGGGGGAGTGTGGAGGGCAGGGGGGGAAGGAGGGTGATCAAAAGCACGGTCGAAGAAGAGGGTCTTGAGATGGGTCTTGAAGGTGGCGAGGGAGGGGGCAAGGTGAAGGGACTGCGTGATGGCGTTCCAAAGGCCGGGGGCAGAGTGGCGGAAGGCCCTCCCGCCAATGGTGGGGTGGGCGAGGCGGGGGAAGTGAAACTGTCCAGAAAGAACGAGCAGGATGGTAGGGGTTTAGGAAGTTGGAGGTAGGGAGGAGCAAGACCATGGAGGGCTTTGAAGGTGAGGACCAGGATCTTGAACTGTATCCTCTGTGTGATGGGAAGCCAGTGGAGTCGGGCGAGGATGGGGGTGATGGGGTCACGGAGCCTGGTGGGGTTGAGGATGAGTGTGATGGGATCACGGAGCTGGTGGGGGTGAGGACACGGGCTGCAGAGTTAGTTCTGGATGATTTGCAGCCTGTGGAGGGAGGAGTTTTCATAGTGGAGCCTAGATGTAATGAAGGCGTGTGTGAGGGTCTCTGGGGCTGCGGTGTGAGACAGTGGGGGAGCCGGGGGATGTTGCGGAGGTGGGGAAGGCAGAGCGGGTCATGGTGCAGATGTGGGGTAGAAAGGATAGTTGAGGATCAAACAAGACCCCAAGGTTCCTGGACTGGCTCAGTGAGGGGGAGTGAGCCCCATGGATAGTGATGCTGTCAGCGCCTGAGGTGAGAAGGCGCTGACCGGAGACAATCAGGAGCCTCGGTCTTGTTGACGTTCAACTGAAGAAAGTTAGCTCAAACCTCAGGGACGAGAGGGGAGAGGAGAAAATGGAAAGCTGAAGAAGATGCTGAGAGAGAATCATACCCGTGACTGAGAGTGTAGATTGTATTGCGTTCTGCAGTCAGTCCCGTAAATCTTCCCGGGTCCCAGGTACAATTCAGAGTCTTCAAGTCCCGTGTTTCACAGGTCAGATTCTGTGGGACGTCGGGGTGACCTGTGGAAGAGAATATTTGCCATCAATGACTGTGCTTTTTCCCTTCGGCCAGTTAACGTTAAAGTGTAATAAAAATAGAAGTTGCTGAGAATACTCAGCAGGTCAGGCAGCATCTATGGAGAGAGGAAAGTGAGGTAACGTTTTCAGGTTGTTGACCTTTTGTCAGAACTTTCCATAGATGCTGCCTGACCTGCTGAGTGTTCCCAGCGATTTCTGTTTTTAGTTCAGATTTCCAAACTGCAGTATTTTGCTTTAAGATTAAAGTGTGTCTTTAACCAGCCAACAACCAGTTTGTCTCTACTCTTGTCCCTCTCCCTCTAGACACAAACTCAGACACAGTACAATACAGAATTATATTTTTAAAGCGCGTATCATGTCGGGAGGATGTCCCAAGGTGCTGAACAGTCAGGGATTAGGACCTGAGCTGGGGGTTGAGGAGATCAGGAGGGTGGAAGGCAGAGAGGGTAGGAGGGTGGCCAAAGGCACGGTCGAAGAGGAGGGTCTTGAAGGAGGCGAGGGAGGGAGCGAGGCATAGGGAATGGGGGATGGAGTTCCAGAGGGTGGGGGCAGAGAGATTGAAAGCCTGACCGCCGATGGTGGGGCGAGCCAGGAGGGGGACATGGAGCAGGCTGGAGCCTGTTGAGTGGAGGGAGCGGACAATTTGATAAAACGAGGAGGGGAACTTTACTGACCCTGGAACAAACAACTTGGTTTTATATAGCTACCTTCATGAGGGGTAGTGTGTTGGAGGGCTTAACAGTGGAAGAGCCTGACATTGAGCTTGGGAGAGAGGTGAGCTGCCCATAAGCACGGCCAAAGAGGAAGGTCTTCAGAGGCGATCTGTAGTCGGACCATGCAGAGGGATTAAGGCAGAGGGGGGCGGGTAGTGGGTTGGTGAGTAAGCAGACCAGAGAGTTAGGGAGGTGGCAGGGCATCTAGTGATTTATATGCAAGTGTGAGGATCAAATCGATCCATTCTGCAATAGGGAGCCAGTGGAGCCTGACAAGGATTGGGATGATGGGGGGATGGAGTTTGCTGTAGTTTGCTGGATGTCGGAATTTTGCATTAAATGGTGGAGCTGGAGAGATTGGTGAGGAAGGAGGGGAAAAATCGGGGAGTGAGGTGACAACTGCATGGATAAGGGTTTCAGCTGTGTTAGTGTGGTTGTGGGTGTGATTTTGACAAAATCACTGTCTCCGTACAGTGGACAGGGTGGACACCAGACAGGAAGGGCTCGAGTAGGCACTGGAGCAAAGTGTGAGCAAAGTTGGTTGGCAACAATACATTCCAGGACTTTGGAGATGAAAGTAAGTTGGCAAGTTTGAGACGGGCCTGGTACGTGTGGTTTAGAAAAGGGGAAATAGTCCACAAAGGGGACAGAGCTGTGTGTGTGAGCAATTGCAATGAGAGGCTTGTCAGGTCTTCTTCCCCTACAATCACTGGGGTTTGACAGTCATCGCAGGCTCTCTATCTGGAGTTAGCTCCATTCCCTGCTCTTTTTACACTGGAGCTCTCCACCCAAATTACCTACAAATTACAGTCACTACACTTAACGACAACAACAAATCACATTAGTATTGCGTCTTTCATGTTGCGAGATTTTGCACAGAGCAATTTCCCACCATCAGCCCCAAAGTGACCAATGTATCTGAGGGATTATTGGCCAGAACATTGGAGGAAACTACCTTCTGCCATCTCATGTGCAGGGCTGTGGGGTAAGAGCGGGGGAGTAGGACTAGTTGGGGTAAGAGCAGGGGAGTGGGACTAGATGGGGTAAGAGCGGGGGAGTGGGACTAGATGGGGTAAGAGCGGGGGGAGTGGGACTAGATGGGGTAAGAGCGGGGGAGTGGGACCACTTGGGTAAGAGCGGGGGAGTGGGGACTAGATGGGGTAAGAGCGGGGGAGTGGGACTAGATGGGGTAAGACGGGGGAGTGGGACTAGATGGGGTAAGACGCGGGGGAGTGAGACTAGATGGGGTAAGAGCGGGGGAGTGGGACTAGATGGGGTAAGAGCGGGGGAGTGGGACTAGATGGGGTAAGAGTGGGGGAATGGGACTAGATGGGGTAAGAGCGGGGGAGTGGGACTAGATGGTAGCTCTTTCAAAGAGCCAACACAGCCACAATGGGCCAAACAGCCTTTTTCTGTGTTATAAGACTCTATGATTCTACTCAAGCCCTGAGTGGCTTTCTGAGAGTTTCTATAAGTTCAGGCCCCTCACTGACATACGTACTTCAACAAATATAACTGCTCCCGTGATATCTGAAGATAGCTCACAAAACACATTGCCTCCGGCTTCTAAGAGGAATGTCAGATTCTTCACTTCGATGGCAGTGCTCCTGTTGCTCAGTTTAATCAGTGGTATCAGATAGTTTGATAAGTGAGTCTTTTAACAAAACTTCCCACACCAGCGATGCAGCAAAATGTCATATTGGTTCCTGCTTCCAGGACGATCGCGTCTTTAGGGTAGATATGGTTACTGGTTTGATTGGACACATCCTCTCCTGCAGAAAGAATAACAACAACGGTGTCAACTCTATAATCTCCCCTCCCCCTTCCCCCCCCACCCCTCTCTATTTCTATGGACTCACGATTAATAATAATAATCCTTGCATTTGATATTGCGCCTTATCATGTCTTTGAGACGTCTCAAAGCGCTTCACAGGGTATACTGTAACCTGAATTGACTGTATATATTGTGGGGCGAAACGCCGGCAGCCAATTGTGCACAGCAGCGTCCCACAGACAGTCGTGGATTGAGTGACCAAATTATTCTTTTTTTTTTGAAGGGACTATTACTCCCGGAAAGCGATCTGCCAATCGACTAACACAGGGTTCCTATTTACTGTTAGGTAAACAGAGGCTTGCGAAGTAAGGAAACTTGCCTAACGTTTTGCCCTGCCCGGAATCGAACCAAGGTCCTCTTACTTGCGAGCAAGTGCTCTAACCACTGACTACAAGATTCCACAGCCCATTTCCACCCCTCCCACCCCCCAGTCCGCAGGATAGAGATGGAGATGAAGGTGAATGAGCAGTTTACCATCCAATGTTGACCACGGGCTCCAGTCACTCCAAGCTTTGATCCCAGCAAACAGGTACTGAGGTTCATTGCTGATACAGCGGACTCTCACAGAGTGAGACGTGCATTGTAACGCATCTCTGTCAGCCAGCTCCACTGCAGTATTCGGTTATGTCCAGGGTTCAGAGTCACACTGCGATTCCCCTGCAAGAACCAACCAAAGCTGTTGGAAACTGCAGTAACAAACCCAGGAACTGGTGATTCAATTCTCAAGGCAGCAGCCTCTGTACACTAGAGGCTATTGACAAATGCTCTCAGACTTTTTTTTATCAGAAGTCCCTAAAATCCAAACAGGAACTGGATGCATATATATATAAGAACAGGAGGAGGCCATTCAGCCCTTCGAGCCTGTTCCACCATTTGATAAGACCATGGCTGATCTGTACCTCATCTCCAATTACCCGCCCTTGCCCATATCCCTGGATCCCTGACCTAACAAACATCTCTCCACCTCATTCTGGACAATGTGAATGGATCCAGCCATAATCCACAGCCTTTTGGGGCAGAACTTAAGAATTTTATTGGCAAAAGAAGACCAAGGTTCATGCAGTTCGCCTTCCACCATCCTGCAGTTGTTTGACATGCCGTGTCCCAAACTACATACTGCGTTTTATCCCACGGAAACACAATCGTAATATCGGAATAGAACGGAGGAGACCATTTGGCCCATGAAGTGATTCACCATTTCATAAGATTAAGCAGATTGTGAGTTAAGTGGCCACATGTTTTTTTTATTTTTATATTTTTGGAGGGATTATTACCCCCACAAATCAATTGGCTTCCTACTCACTGCTGGTAAACAGAGTTGTGTGGAGTAAGGAAACTTGCCGAACATTTCACGCTGCCCCGGAATCGAACCCGGGTCCTCTCGCTTGCGAGGCACGTGCTCTAACCACTGAGCTACAGGACTACAATAATATTTGCTAATAAACATGGACGATGAAAGTCGTGCTTAAATTTTCTTGAGGTGTAATGTGACTTACTGTCCCGACCTCCTTCAGGCTCTGTGTTTGGATGACCTGGATCTGGAACAGGAGATTTAAATCAAAGCTGTACATATCAGCACCATCGCTCCACTCCACCAGCAGCTCCAGGTCTGATTCCTCTCTGAACACCCTGACCATACGCGGTGTGTGAGGCTGAAACACTGAAACACAAGATCCAAGATAAACAGCCAAGCAAGTTACAACAACAACAACTCGCATTTACATAGCGCCCTTCATGCTGGAAGGCGTCTCGGAGCGATTAACAGTGGCGGAGCCCGAGGCCGAGCCAAGGGAGTTGCCTAAGGTCTTGCCCTGCCCTGGGAATTGAACGCTGGTCCTCCCTCTTGCGAGATGAGCACGCTAACCACTACACTACAGGATCCCACTTTCCACACATCCCTTCAGACTTCGACTGGTTTCTTAGAGACTAAGAATACTTACCGATATTGCTTTCGTTCACTGTAAATATATCCGACTCCTGTGTGCCCAGGGAATTATTAGCAATGATTCTTATTTGCAAAGTCTTGAACAGAGAAAACTGTAATTCAACAGAGGTGTTTCTTCCCACTGAGGTGCATTTTCTTGAACTGCTACGAAGAGTAAAACACAATACAGCTTGTAAACACTAAACATATCTCATTCAACAACAACACATTACATTTACACGGAGCCTTTCACATTGGGAGGACGTCCCAAGATGCTGGACAACCTCGAAGGAGGTGTGGAGGGGAGGGAGGGGAGGGGTAGGAGGGTGGCTGAAGGCGCGGTCGAAGAGGAGGGTCTTGAGACATGCCTGAAGGAGAAGAAGGCGAGGCAAAGAGACTGTGGGATGAAGTTTCAAAGGGTGGGGGCAGAGAGGCTATTTTGATCTTTTTTTTGATAATTACTTGAATGCTATAGTCTGAGAAACACACACGCCAAAAGAAAACGACAACAATAACTTGCATTTACACAGCGCCCCTCACACAGGGCAGCGTCCTAGAGCTTGACACCAAGCCAGGGGGAGGGGAAATGACCTTAGGCACGGTCGAGGGAAGGTCTTCAGGCGTGATCTGAAGATGGGGGAGGAGAGGGCAAGGCGGAGGGATAGGGGAAGAGTGTTCCAAAGTTTCTGGGCTTAGTGGCTGAAAGCGCTGCTAACAATGGTGCAACGGAGGGGACAAGGGACATGCAGGAGGCCTGAGCCAGTCAAGGGGAGGAAGCGGATAGTGGGTTGGGGAACAAGCAGGTCGGAGAGATAGGGAGGTGCCAGGACATGAAGGGATTTGAAGGCAAAGATGAGGATCTTGAAATCGAATTGGCGCTTTCACAATGAATTGAGAGAAGTCATGGGCTGTTCTTCCCAGCAGTGAGCGGATGGTAAGAGGCACATGTTTGTTGTTCGAGGGCTTCCGAACTGCCCCATTGGAAAGTAATAAAGACTCACTCCTGGCAGACAGTGTAGGTGGTATCGAGGCTTGTGTTTGGGTTCCATGAACAGACGATAGTGGCGAGGCTCTGGGATAGGCAACGTAGATCAGTAGGTGCTTCTGGAGGATCTACAGAAACACACAGTTAGTACAATAATACAACAGTAATGCATTGTAATGTGTATCGCAAGAGAAAGGACCTGGGTTTGATTCCCAGGCAGGTCGAAATGTTGGGCAAGTTTCCTTACTCCACACTCCTCTGGATACTTAGCAGTAAGTAGGAATCTGATTGTTAGTCATGTCGTTGAGATGTCTCAAAGCGTTTCACAGGATACACCGTAAAGTGAATTGACTTTGTGTATTTTGTGGGTGAAACGCGGCAGCCAATTGCATACAGCAGTGTACCACAAACAGTCATAAATTGAGTGACCAATTTATTATTTTTTTGAAGGGATTATTACCCCCAGAAAGTGATCTGCCAATCGACTAACAACCGGGTTCCTACTTACTGCTGCTAGATAACCAGAGGTGTGTGGAGTAAGGAAACTTGCCCAACGTATCGAACCCAGGTCCCCTCGCTCGCGAGTGCTCTAACCACTAAATTACAGGATTACAGGATTATATAAATGTAATTTTGCTGCTGCTGTTGTTAAGGGATGTTTGATGCCCAAGGCCTGAAATTTCACAGCAGCTCCCAGTTCCTGACTAAGAATTTTCCACTATTCTGCACAAGGTGGCATTACGAGCCTCTGTCTGTGTGCCCTTCTTATGCATTATATCAATCTGACAGTAGACGGCGCTAAATACATAAAGCATCAGCCTCCAGAAATGGTTACTTGTCTTGACGTAACTTGCTTTCTCTTGGCATATATATTGTAAGGTGAATTGACTGAATCCTTGCATTTGATACAGCGCATTACATCGTCGTTGAGACGTCTCAAAGTGCTTCACAGATTATCCTGTAAAGTGAATTGGATGCTGTAAAATTGCACATTTTGTGGACGGAATGTGGGAGCCAATTGCGCACAACAGTGTCCCACTTATTCCACACAGAGCCTAATAATAATCCCTCCAAAACAACAAAACAATAATAAATTGGTCATTTTCAATTCATGACTGTTTGTGGGACGCTGCTGTGCACAATTGGCTGCTGCGTTCGCCCACAAATATACAGTCAATTCACTTTACAGTATATTCTGTGAAGCGCTTTGGGACGTCTCGAAGACATGAAAAGCGCTATATCAAATGCAAGGATTATTATTACATTCCAGGTGTGGGTATATAGGAACCCTTCATCATGGTGACAAGTATCCAATGCCAAACATGAGAATTCTACATATGTTTCCCACCTACGCATGAAATTTCTCTGTGTCTGGAATGGAATGCGCACTTTCTCTCTGGAGAGACACATCCTGCTTATCTAAGTCTGGAGAGTACTAGGCGCAGGTTGGTGAAAGCTAAGGCTTGGGGGAGCCCAGAGTGCCCAGAGTGCGTGTTGGGATAACTGCTGGAGTCTAACCAGCTAAACCCACACAGCTTGGCCATTGAGAGCACTGCCTGGCTTCCCGTTGCTTGTCCAGCTAGGACCACCCTCCCCGTTAGGGCTTTGACTCACAGTATTGACAAGAGCTGAGTCTACCTCTCCAGGTCCTGCCGATGAACCAGGCTGGCTGGTCCATCACCAGCAGAGCCCTGGAATACTCAGCAATGACCTGGCTTACACATTGCACTATGGAAACCACCACACCACTCTATTGTGCTATTCTGGTGCCAAGTAAATCACCTAAAATAAATCAACTATGATTTGTGATAGGAGCCAAAGTCCTGTTTATACTTGCAATAAACTCAAAGCCTCTTCTATTCAATAACTTGAAGCTGCATCAGTCTGGCTCAGTGGTAACGCTCTCTCTATCGCCTCTGAGTCAGAAGGTTGTTGGCTCAAGCCCCACGTCTGGACTTGAATTACAGTCTATGCTGATGCTCCAATGCAGTGCTGGGTGGGGTGGGGGGGAATTGAATTGTGGGTTTGCCGTCCTTTGGACAAGACGTTAAACCGAGATCCCGTCCACCTGTTCAGGTGGATGTTAAAGATCCCGCGGCAAGATTTAAAAAGAGAAGGAGTTTCTCTCTCCAAATAAAATTGTTCGCTCACTCCATGGCTGTTTGTAACATAGCTGCCGAGTTTTGCCCACAAAATACAAAGTGAATCCACTTATAGTATATATCCTGTGAAGCCCTTGGGGACGTCTTGGCGACATGATAAAGCGCTGTATCAAATACAGGGATTATTATTATTAATTATTTCTCCCCCTACATATCTCATTGATATTTAAGCACTTTGAGATGTCCTCCCAATGGGCCAATCGCTCTACAACAACAACAACAAGATTCCATTTATAGAGCGCCTTTCAAGTCGGGAGGACGTCCCAAAGCGCTGGACAGTGAGCTAGTGATCTACTGGTTAGTGACTTGAAAAGCCAAGGTGGACAGAAAGCAATGTGGTTCTATCTCTGGTGCAATTAATAAGTTCAGGCCAGTACAACAACAACCACAACAAATGACACATCCATCCCGCCAGAAAGACATCCCAGCTTGAAATACAAGCTGCTTGGGTAGAAACAATTTGGAAAGTCACAGCGTCCTGCCTCAGGTGTCAGATTGGCTGTTACATGTCCCAGCTCTTTTCCTGTTCCAAATGCAACACGGTGACCGAAAGCACGGTCAAAGATGTAGGTTTTGAGGTGTGTCTTGAAAGAGACGAGGGAGCGAGTTGGAGGGTCTTTGGGATGCAATTCCAGAGAGTGGAGGCAGAATGACTCCCAGCCAATGTGGGCAGGGAGGGTAGAAGGCATGCAGCAACAACAACAACAAAATTACATGTGTATAGCACCTTTCACGTTGGAAGGACGTCCCAAGGCCCTGGACAGACAGAGTTACGGAACCGAGCTGAGGGTCGGGATGGGGAAGGGGAGGGGGCTAGGGGTGGCGCAGATAGATCGAAAGCACGGTCGAAGAGGAGGGTCTCGAGGTGGGTCTTGAAGGTGGCGAGGGAGGAGGCGAGACGGAGGGACTGTGGGATGGAGTTCCAGAGGATAGGTGCAGAGTGGCGGAAGGCCTGCCCATTGATAGTGGGGCGAGTGAGGCAGGGGACGTGAAGCAGGCCAGATCCTGGTGCAGCAGGTTGGTGTTCGCTGAGCGAAGGGAGTGGCCAGGTTGGTAGGGTTGAAGGAGGTTGCACATGTCACATCCCAGACTATATACTGTGGGGTGAGACATTGAAGGGATTTATAAGGTGCGAAAGAGGATCTTGAACTTGATCCGCTGTGGGTTGGGGAGCCAATGGATCTGAGTGAGGATGTGTGTGATGTCAGGCTACAGAGCCTGTGTGGGAGAGGACACAGGCTGCAAAGATACAAAGACAATCTATCCCGTACGTATTATAGCCTTATAGCCTGGCTTAGCAGGCTTCAAACTGACTTGGGTGGACTGATTGGTTATGAAAACAGTTTATTTTGCTTTCTCCACACTTAACACATGGAAACAATAGTCTGTATTTTACTGTCAGAAATGTGTGTTTGTTGACAAACCAACTATTCCACCAACTGCAAATTCCTAGGCATCTGTCCTCAATGCAGTGGAGTCCTGTAGCTCAGTGGTTAGAGCGCTCGCCTCACAAGCGAGAGGATCTGGGTTCGATTCCCAGTAGGGCAAAACACTGGGCAAGTTTCCTTATTCCACATGCCTCTGTTTACCAGCAGTGAGTAGGAACCCAGTTGTTAGTTGATTAGTAGATCACCATTCCAGGGATACTAATCTTTTCAAAAATTATAATTTTAAAAAAATTTGGTCACTCAATCCACGACTGTTTGTGGGACACTGCTGTGGGCAATTGACTGCTGCGTTTGGCCCACAGAATACACAGCCAATTTACTTTACACTATATTCTGTAAAGCCCTTTAAGACGTCTCAAAGACATGATAAGGGGCTATATCAAATGCAAGGATTATTACTGTTATTATTATGAAGATTGTGAAGGCCCATGTGAGGACTTGAGCTCACAACCCAGCCAGGCCTGACCCTCCAATGCGGTAATGAGGGAAGGGATGCTGTGTTGGGAGGAGTGAAGTGAGCTGTTCAGGGCAACTTTACAGATCTGGCAACACAATTGGAAAAGACATGTTTCTCCTGGTATCATGCCCAACGATCCTCCAGATAAATCAATCATCCACATCATGATTGGGGGAAGTTTCTGTGCATAAATTGGCTGACCTTCCTATAAACAAAATATCACTATGCCTTAGAGCAATGACCTGTGACTCATTTGGAAATGTTTTGGCATTATAGGCTCTATATCAAAAAAAGGATTATTATTTAGTATTCTGTGGCTTAAGATCAAGGTATTAAATTTTAAGATGGGGTGTAATTTTGGATAATTCATGAACTAATAATTTAGTCATTCAATCCACGACTGTTTGTGGGACACTGCCATTCACAACTGGGTGTCGTGTTTCACCCACAAAATACATAGTCAATTCACTTTACAGTGTATTCTGTGAAGTGCTTTGAGATGTCAAATGCAAAGATTATTATTATTATACTTACCTCCATTCTGTCCACTTGCCAAATGTGACTCAAATAAAAAAAGTACTAAAAACACAAACAACTTCATTGTTCCACCCTCGGTCGTTGTTCCAGTGCTTTGGGACATCTTTCTGACTTGAAAGGCGCTATATAAATGCAACTTGTTGTTGTTGCTGTCGATCGGTTCCAGAGGAAATAAACGACAGAATCCTTCACCATGGAATTCACTGAAACAAAAAGATTTTTTCCACTATTAATTTTTTTTACATAAATGTTCAAATGCAGCAACTATATGGTGTAGACAAGCCATTTTGCTCACAATGGGGTGAGTTCACCAGAATAATGCCACGGATAAAAGGGTTAAATTATGAGGACAGGTTGCTTAGAAAGGAAAGTGAGTCAACGTTTCGGGTCCACGACCCTTCATCAGAACTGGACTGGTTTAACCCCTCATGAGAAGGTTGGTACCTCCAGCAACACAGCGCTTCCCTGGAGTATCAGCTTGGACTGTGGGCTCAAAGCCCTCAACATGGGGATTTAAACCAACTGGACCACAAAATTAGCCCCTCCTAAAGATATACACTTGTGCAACAAGTGCACACGCGCACACATGCAAGCTTACAAATCATGAATGCTTAAGAAACTGAGCACATAATAACAACACATTACACAGCACCTTTCTCGGTGGGGGGACGTCCCAAGGCTCTGGACAGTCAACAATTTGGACCCGAGCCGGGGTTGGGATCAGGAGCGGTGGAGGGTAGGAGTCCTGCAGCGTAGTGGTTAGAGCACTCGCCTCACCAGTGACAGCACCTGGGTTCATTTTCCAGGCAGGGCAAGACGTTAGGCATTCCCTTACGCCACACGCCTCTGTTTACCAGCAGCAAGTCAGAACTCGATTGTTAGTAAAAAGGTGCATCGCTTTTCCCGGGGTAATAATCCCTTGAAAAAAATAATAATTTGTTCACTCAATCCACGACTGTTTGTGGGACACTGCTGTGCACAATTGTCTGCCGCATTTCGGTCACAAAATATACAGTCAATTCACAGTATTTTCTGTATATTCTGTGAAAAGTCTCGAAGATGTGATAAGGCGCTATATCAAATGCAAGGGTTATTATTATTTGGGGTAGGAAGGTGACCGAAGGCTCGGTCCTAAGACAGGCCTTCCTTTCAAACATGTGTCTGACTCCATAAATTAGACAAATAAGGATCTAAAAATAGGATCCAGTACTGATAGAAAGAAAAAGTTGTTATGCAGACACATGAGAAGTAATGGTCCATTGGAACCAGAATTGATAATAATAATAATAATAATCCTTGCATTTGATATAGCGCTTTTCACGTCGAGAGGACGTCCTAAAGCGCTTCACAGAACACACTGTAAAGTGAATTGACTGTATATTTGTGGGCGAACGCGGCAGCCAATTGCGCACAGCAATGTCCCACAAACAGTCGTAGATTGAAAATGACCAATTTATTATTGTTTTTGGAGGGATTATTATTAGACGTGTGGAGTAAGGAAACTTGCCCAAGGTTTCGCCCTCTGCCTGGCATTGAACTCAGGTCTCTCACTTGCAAAGCGAGTGCTCTAACCACTGAGCTACAGGACTCCATAAATGACATAATCTGATGACAGATTAATCTGTAGATCAAGGTTCTCAATGGACTGTGAAATAACACTGAACAACCAGACATGAAGCTCCGAGACGCCGTCCGGCGTGGAGGGCGCTATATTAATCGAAGTTGTTGCTGTTGTTGCTTGACTGCATGTGTAATTACACTGTCCGCAATGTTAAACTGTCTCAAAGCATTTCATAGGCTATTACTGTCAAGTGCAGTCGCTTGTGTATTTGTAAGCAAGCGTGTCAGCAAATTTGCAGACAGCTATGAAGTTAGTGATCATTTCATGTGGAGGATTGCCAGCTAAGGGAGAAATATCCTTCTCTTTTCCAATAGTGTTGTGGGATCTTTAACATACACCTGAAAAGACACGCATGAGGTCTCGGTTTAAAATCTCCTAAGAATAAAAATCCCCTTAAACACAAACACAATTTGGCAAATTCTTTAATACAGCCTTAATTTTGAAATTGGTTTTCTGTACATTTCACAATTTGCATTTACATAGTACTTCTATAGTAATTGTATAATATATAATAATCCTTACATTTGATATAGCGGCTTATCACGTCTTCAAGACATCTCAAAGCACTTCACAGAGTATACTGTAAAGTGAGTTGACTGTATATTTTGTTGGTGAAATGTGGCAGCCAATTGTGCACAGAGGTGTCCCACAAACAGTTGTGGATTCAATGACTAAATTAGTATTATTTTTAAAAAAAGTGAAAAATTATTACCCCTGTTTACTGCTGGTAAACAGAGGTGTGCGGAGTAAGGAAACTTGCCTACGGGTTCATCCTGCCTGGGAATCGAAACCGGATTCTCTCGTTCGCTCTAATCAAAATTCTACAGGAACTCCACGATAAAGCTTATAGGCTCCTGAATTCTTTAATAAGACCTCCGCTCTGATAGGCGTCCACTGTGTCTGTAAAGCGCTTTGAGATGTTCCCCCCCTATGTGAAAGGTGGTAGGAAGTGCCAGTTGTTTTGGAAGCTTGCCCTGGAGCTTTCTCTTACAAAAACAATAATCTGCGAATAAATCTGCCTTTATTCCCAAGACCAGCCTGGCCACATTTTTCATTTCTTAAATTACTTTGAGGATCAACATGGTTGTTTAAGGAAACTGAAGGAGAGGTCTGGGTGCTGAAGGCCACACCTACCTAATGATCAGGCTTAGCTCAGTTCTGCATTAAATGTGAGATCAAATCATCAGAACAGCGATTAGAAGGAGGAGAGTGTTTTAAAACCAAAGTATCTGTCGATTAAAAGCTAAAACTATTTGCGGTCCCCGTCTCTGCTTTACTGCGCTGACAGAGAGAATCACACTTGGCTGAAATCTTTCCTAGCCCTTTAGGGGACACTGGATAACACAGGGATAATAATAATATAACAATCCTTGCATTTGATATATTGCCTTATCATGTCTTCAAAACTTCTCAAAGCGCTTCACAGAATATACTATAAAGTGAATTGACTGTATATTTTGTTGGTGAAATGCGGCAGCCAATTGGGCACAGCAGCGTCCCACAAACAGTCGTAGTATGTCGTAATAAAAAACATTATTTTTATTAACAACAGGATTCCTACTTACTGCTAGGTAAACAGAGGTGTGTGGAGTAAGGAAACTTGGTAACGTTTCGCCCTGCCTGGGTATTGAACCCAGTCCTCTCGCTTGCGAGGCATGTGCTCTAACCACTGAACTACAGGACTAGGTGGTGAATACGGCCGTCAATTTTTGCAAAGCAACGTCCAACTACAGAAATGAAGTGGGAGACCTATTTTATCTGAAGGATTGTTGGCTAGGATCCCAGAAGAAACTCATTTCGAATAGGTGCCTTCCCTCACCTCCGTAACATCGCCCGACTCCGCCACTATCTCACCCCTCAGGCGCTGAAACTCTTGTTTATGCCGTCATCACCTCGAGGCTCAACTATGCAAACTCCCTGCGTGTCGGCCTTCCTAACTCCTCCCTCCACAGACTGCAGATAATCCAGAACTCTGCAGCCCGTGTCCTCTCCCGCACCAAACTCCGTGACCCCATCTCCCCCACTCTCGCCCGACTCCATTGGCTCTCTACCCTTCAGAGGATCCAGTTCAAGATCCTGATCCTCACCAATAAAGCCCTCCACGGCCTCGCCCCAGCCTACCTCTGCAACCTCCAAACCCCCTACCAACCCGCCCGCTCCCTCCACTCAGTCGGCTGCGACCTGCTCCATGTTCCCCGACCCACCCGCCCCACCATTGGCGGGAGGGCCTTCAACCACTCTGCCCCCAACCTCTGGAGTTCCATCCCCCAGTCACTCTGCCTCACCCACTCCTTAGCCTCCTTCAAGTCCCGCCTCAAAACCCTCCTCTTCGAGCATGTCATCGGTCACCCCCCTTCCCCTCCCTTCTCCCCCCCTGACCCCAGCTTGGGTCTGAAATGCTGTACACTTGGGACGTCCTCCTGACGTGAAAGGCGCTATATAAATGTAATCTTGTTGTTGTTGAAGGAAAGACCTTTTGTTACTTTTGACCTCAACAGGCACAGATGGGACCTCAGTTTAACGTCTTATCTGAAGGATGGCACATAATCCTCCAACAATGCTGTGCTCTCCCGGCACCACATTGCAACCAGTCGACACAAAAGTGAAAGCAAAAGTGATGGGAAAAATATGGTAGGGTTTGAGAAAAGAGCAGGAGAGTGGGACTAAACTGAGAAGACTTTCAGAGAGCCAGCACAGGCAAATTGCCTCCCTAGTAAGTTCTATGAGCCACACATTATTCCTAATTGGGGAAAAGTAGAAAAGGTTTGGGGTGAGAGAGAAAGTCAATCAATGTACCTTAACCACACACAGTCATTTGTGGAGTTCTGTAACTTAGCACTTGCCTCGCAAGCGAGAGGACTTGGGCTGGACTCCCAGGCAGGGCGTAACTTTGGGCAAGTTTCCTTACTCCGTAAGCCTCTGGTTACCTACAACAACAACAACAAGATTCCATTTATAGAGCGCCTTTCACGTCAGGAGGACGTCCCAAGGCGCTGCACAGTTGGGTCATGACCCGAGCAGGGGGGAAATGGTCAGGGTGAGGGGAGGGAAGGGAGGGAGAGAGAGAGGAGGGGGAAATGTCAGGGTGAGGGAGGGAAGGGAGGGAGCGAGGAGGAGGAAGAGAGTCGAGAGCTGAAGGCACGGTCAAAGAGAAAGGTTTTGAGACCGGCCTTGAAGGAGGAAAGGGAGGAAGCAAGGCGAAGGCACTGGGGATGGAGTTCCAGAGCCTCGGGGCTGAGAGGCTGAAGGCCCGACCACCGATAGTAGGGCGGTTGGGGCGGGGGACGTGGAGCAGACCGGAGCCAGAGGAACGGAGGGTACGGGCAGGTAGGTAGGGGATAGTAGGTTGGAGAGGTAGGAGGGAGCAAGGCCGTGAATAGCCTTGTAGGTGAGGATGAGGATCTTGAAATCAATCCTCTGGGGGATGGGGAGCCAGTGGAGGCGAGCGAGGGTGGGAGTGATGTGGTCCCGAAGCCTGGTGCAGGACAGTACACGAGCTGCAGAGTTCTGAATGACCTGCAGCTTGTGGAGGAGGTGGCGGGAAGGCCGGCGAGGAGAGAGTTCCCATAGTCCAGCCTTGAG